CGGCTAAGGAAGCCTCGTCTGGTACGCAATCAGCTGCACCATCTCTCGAAAGCCATAGCGGCTTTGGGAACAATTTAACCATGTCAAAAAGTCCCAGCGCACTTGAGTCTAATAGTCCTGCAAGGGCTCAGGATCTGTCTCAGCTGTGCGCGGATAGAACATTGCAAGTCGCTGTTGAAAGACTTTCGCCAAAACGAATAGCCTGCATTAAAGAAAACTTCCTCAAAAATGCAGTGTTAAATAGCCAGCGGTTAGCAAACAAAAAAAGTGTTGCTGGAAATTCCACGGAGACAGAAGAAAATCTGTCCAATGACTCTGTACAATCTCCTAAAATAAAAGCTGCCTTTGAAAAAAGAAGGTTAAACTTAGAGGCGGAAACCGCAGCATTTGTTTCATCTGCAAGAGAAGAGATGCCTGCGCCCCATGGCCCTGTTCATGACGATCAAGTCGCATCAACTTCTGGTGAGGCTCGTGGGAGGACGAGTGATGATGTTGAAAGTGAAGCATCTGGCAAAGAAGCGTCATGTGACCGCCGTGCAAACCCTGTTGACAGAAACGCGCCGGCAGCATCGACGCATAAGGAACAGCATGAAGCGCCGCTACACGACGATAATGCTGAAGATGGCACTGCATCAACCGCAGACGCTGAATTGCGTGAGGCAAGAAGACTAGAACTGCTTCGTGCGATAAGCACTCCTACCCGCAATCAAAGCGTCATTTGTAACATAACTTTCAGGAATCAAACTCAAAATGTGAGTGCGATCCCTGAAAATATGTCGACTTTATCTGAAATAAGTGAGGAGGCATCTAATGACCAACAAGGAAGCATCTTGTTACACTTCAAAGATCCTGCAGCTTATGCCAAAGATGACCAGTTCAGCATGATAAGGAAGAGCACCAAACGAAGCCTAGACAATGACTTCAAGAAGTTAAAGAAAACGGAAGCAGATAAAGACAAGCGTAAGGCAAGCGGTGGTCTTTTCGAGTCGGTTTGCAGCGAAGGAGAAGTCGATGGACAAGAAATGGAACAAAGTTTTCGTGACTCGCCTGGATGTAGACCTGAGGTTCTGGTGACCAAGACGAATAAGAAGAGATCAAATGGAAAGCGTAAGAGCAACAAATGAATGAGCGGGTAGTTTAAGACAACTTTTCTACGCTCCATTACATTTTTAAAACTTATTTTATGTTGAGAGGATAAATAGTTTAGCCGAAATTCAGTTAGTTTGTATTTTCTACATGGAAAGGAGAAGACCTGTTACGGTACAAAACAATCAGAAGGTAAGAAGCCGTGCTTTAAAATCTCGTTTTATTTTGTATATGCGTTTAACGATAGTATTATTAGAAAAATTTTCCAGTTCGTAATGTTTTTTTTTACCTTGATGGGCATACCTTCACTTTCGTGGCATTCTCATTACTGACCCGCAACTGAAACATCTACAGTCGTTTCAAGTATCACTTGCAACAAAATCTAATACTTTCATTTGCTCATTTAGTTCCTCAATTGATCGAATGCCAACAACACTCTTAGCTCTGCGATCACTTGACACTGGCCACAATAGCGCCTTCGGTCGATAGCTAATGCGCTTCAGTCCTCACCCGTCCTTCGTGTAAGAAGAGCCATCTGATGCTACTGTGCCTCGGAAATGCCCTACAACTGCCCTACTCCCTCTTCTGTCTCAGTCACTGGCCTAAGTGTGCAGCTTAGCGCGGGAGTCGTTCGGTTCCTGAGAGCGCGAGATCTGTGCTCTTTGCAACTAACGGTGCAGAACAAGCCTACGAACATTTTCTGCTACCGCTTTGCTCACCGTCTTTATGGTTTGCCCTGGCGTTGTGCAGGGCAGTAAAATGCATCACTCAGCCTACGTCGTGAACCTTCTGTTCCTCGACTACAGACGATGCCTGTCTATATTTACTGACGGCACTGAAGGCGACTGTAGGGTTGTTATTGCTCCAGGCAACCCGCTCCGGTTGGTGCTGGTGGCGTGTTAGTTGTATGCTTGATGTGATGCTGTTACGGGCGGACAGTTGTGTGCTTGATGTGATGCTGTTACGGGCTGACAGTTGTATGCTTGATGTGATGCTGTTTTGATCCTTACGGGCTGACACCTCGGGACACTCCTGTAAGATACGCGTGGCGGAGTGAGTGTGGGCGCAATTCCGCGTGTGTTGCCTAAACGAGGATTGTAGAAGTTTGGCAAGGGATTGTGGCCGGGTGGTCGCAGCGAAACCTTGCGAGGTGAACGATATATGTTCAAGTTTGTTTCTTCTCTGCGCTGCTAATGTCTGCAGATGTTTGTAATTCGTTTATGAGAGAGTTGATGAGAGCGATTATTAGGCCTGTTTGTCGGATGGAGTGATGGAATTGAGAGGTAGTATTTATTTAGACTTTTTCCTCTGTAACGGAAGACGACGAATACAAGCTTTTATCGGCACCATCCCTTATTGCCTAACGACAAAGCACTGCTTAGTCCCATCCACCATTGATTCTTCAAAACGTTGAGCAGATTCCGCTGGGTGGCGGCTGTCAGAAAAAAAATGTTACTCCCCTTACATCATTCCGGGAGGCTGAGGTGCTTGTGTAGATTGGTCATTGGTCACAACTATCTGGTCATTGGTCAAACGATCAGGATACCAAACTGTGTTGTTGGTCAAACTATCAGGATATCGCACAACACAACTATCAGGATATCTTGAATACTGACGCCCTCAGCATACCCTGAAGGTCTGCAGACTTCATTGAAGACGGAGCAGCTGCATGCAATCGCGTGCTGGGGTTAAGCTAAACCACTGTATGATTGTTCACGCAATTAATTTTTCGTTTAATATCATAAAAGATCGCAAATTGCCTCGTCCTGGAAGAAACAGTTCGTAATTTGCATCACGAGGCTTGTTGATAAAATTCATTGATAGAAAATGCAATGACTTTAAAATTGATTTTTAATACAGACAAATATTCGCGATATTCCGAGAGTCTGATATGTTTGTTGGTTAAATAGACAAAAATACTAATGACGTTCGATGCCGCGGCCCTGAGAACAACCATTGCAAGGCATGCCGACAACAGATGGCGTGGGGGTCCTGTGGTGCAGACGTTTGAATACTAACGAATGATGAGACAGTCGTGAATGCATATCGGGTGAGCAAATCGCTTGCATCAAGCGAAACTTGATGCAAATGATATTCTTGGTTAATTTTTGTGCCGAACGACACTATGAACTAAACACAGATTACTAGGAGAATTTTTCGACCTGTGATTGTAAGTAATATTTATAAAATAATATAGTTTGGTCAGCCTATTTTAGGCCATTTAGGCCTGTTGTAAATTTTGTATGCGGCCAGCTTTCCGATTTAGACCTAAATTTACACAACTAGTTGCGGGTTTCGAACCTGCACGTCGTCAATATTCGTTTCTATACACGAATATACGATTCAACGTACACCACTAGACGGAAAATACATCCTCGGCACGTGTTGCATTGCGTGATTTCATCAGCATTTTATAATTGTGAGTGAATCATCTTCACGTGGCAGCACACCTGTAAACTGCACCGCTGATGGCAGAGACGCGATAGCAGTCATCGCTGCACTGTTGCATTGGCAAGTCGCTTGGTTGTGTTCCAGACTGTCGCATTGCCGTACTCTGAAATTGTAAGTTAGTATTGTAATAACTGATTTACAGTGATTTGTTTACATTGAAAAAGTTTCCTCGTAATTCATTTAAGTTTTCATATTAACCCTTGACAGAAAATTAGTTTTATGAGAAGAGTTACGTTTATTAGTACAGGGTGGTTTTCGGAAACTTCCTGATTTTAAAGCTCAATAAAAAAATAGTGAAGATACTATTACAGTAGAAATGTTACTGAGAAAGGCATTTTTCTCAATATCTTTTTGTATCACTTAGTTCTAGAGATAACATGGGACCAATAACGGCCCCTTTGTCAATGCATTCAGTTAGTCGATTTTTGAAGTTTCGTTCAACTCGATGAACCATATTGACGGGTATGTTGGCGATGGCTTGGCGTATGTTGTTCTTCAAATGAGGTAGGGTTCTTGGACATTAAATATAAACAATTGATTTAGGTTAACCACGTAGAAAAATCACACGGAGCCAAATTGGGGGATCTGGCCAGCCTAATTAAGAAGGTTACCTCTCAAGGATATGAGGCCAATACCCGTCAATTAATAATATGCTTCATCGAGTTGAACGGAACTTCAAATCGACTAACTGAATGCATTTACAATGGGGCCGTCATTTGTCCGATGTCATCTTTAAAACTAAATGATACAAATATTCAGGTAATGTATTTTTCAATAAAATTTATATTGAAATAACATCTTTACCAGTTTTTTTATTGCGCTTTCAAATCAGGAAGTTTCCGCAAATCAACTTGTATGTTAGAGATCTCCAAGTTCGAACATGTGTCGATGAGAGAGGCGCTGTGCTAGGCCACTAATTAAGTCATGAGTCATCCTTAGCTCGTCACAAGTGCCACGCGACCACAACCAGAACATTCCATATTGTACAAGAGCTTTGAGGCGCTGAAATCTTTGGGTGAACGCAGGAAATTATTAACATTAGAACGCATTAGCAGGAAATTATTCCAAGGTAACCAAGAAACTACCAGAATCGCTTCGAGAGAACCCATCGTATCTTCTGGTTGCCGTGATCGTCATCACTCAAGAGGATGGCCAATATTTCATCGACGAGTTCCATGCGGCGACACGGAGCCTCATGGCAGAACAAGACTGGTCGACCTACGGTTTTAAAAGCCTCCTGATGCTTCTTAGTCAGGCCCAGCGTAATCTATCCAGCAGACCTAACCCTGAGATGAACAAATTCATCTTCAGAACTGCTGGTGAGCGCTGGAATTTGCAAAAGGGACAGCATCTGAGCTTGGGCTGCTACTCTTCCTTCACCGTTCGTCGCAACGTTGCCATGGGACATCTGGTGAGGCAAAAAGTTGTTTTTGACGTCTTTCTTAATCAATTTTGGGGTTCATTATGCTGTTTCGGCCGTAGAGAGCCCATTTTGATTTCTCAAAGTTAGAATAATATTATTAATAAATAATAATATAGAAGAGTCAGCTCTGATTATGCTGTGTTAGCGTGTCGCTTTTTTTTTAACCACCCGGCTACCTTGCCGATTTGGACCAGAATTCACACAAATTGTTACGGGAATCGACCTCTTAGATATTCTAGCCATAAACTCTTCGATCCCTTAAGTGGTTATTTTAAGTCATTCATTGAGAGATTGTGCGAAAAAAATTAATATCTGGAATATTAACGAATTTCTTTCACCGTCTGCAGAAAGAGGACGGCGCGGCCGAAGAGGGAGGAGAGGAGGAAGAGGATGCAACGAAAGAGTCTGCGTGCGAGGGCAACCCACCAACTCTCGTCAAGATAAAGTTCACGCCGGAAGTTGTCGGTTTGGGTGTGAAGCATCTGTCGCCACTCAGTGAAGACGAACGGGAGGTGCTGGTCTCGCCGCTACAAAATTTCACAGTCACCGAAGTGATCAAGAGAGCGAAAAAAGGTTTCACTGTCTTCATGCTCGAACCTGTCAAGGCATGAAATGGCTACGCGGAATATTGACAAAATATAACTCAGTACTCACTGCAGTGAGTGACAGAGAGCACATTTTCTCGTCGACGAAAACGTGAAGTCACGGACAGACAGACGGACGGACAGATGGATATGGCGAGCACAATAGTGCATTTTTTCCATAAATGAGAAAATGCGCTAAAAATGGACCACCTGAAAATTTTTATATTATCAGCATCATATTCTTGCTCACCATTTGTATAATCCTATTGATATCAGTGGATCAATTTGAGCAATTATACGCACTTCGGTATTTTCAATTATTCTATTCAAGCATATATATGCATATAGTCATATAATCGTTGCGTTTCTAAGCAAATATAATCAACATAAAATCTATCTTGCTTCTGCTAAAGCTTCTTAGCATATACTCGCTTATACTACTAAAAAAGCGTGACGCTATTATTGAACGCTTAATATGTTCAGTGTAATGCAATACATTCAGGACATATTGTAACTATGACATTATTCGGCAAATGATAGAATTATATCACTTCATTTTTGCGGCAATATATTAAGCTGGGACTCTTATTCCCCTATTTGGATTATCGGCTGAATATTTTGATAACAATTCGTACATAGCTTGGCATATACCTTTTCGCGATTTTCATGTTCTTGTAAAATATATATTATCATAAATTACCTTCACCTGTTGCTACGACGTTTTGACATTAATAATATCACTCTAAAAAACTAAGAGTTGGGTTCCTATGACTTATCCTTGATCGTCAGATAATGAAATTATACCAAATGAGGATATCAACCAAACTGTATGCTCGAACCTGTCAAGGCATGAAATGGCTAACCGAAATATTAAAAAATATAACTCAGTACTCACTGCAATGAGTGACAGAGCGCGCATTTTCTCTTAGACAAAAACGTGAAGTTACGGACGGACAGACGGACGGACGGACATGGCGAGCACAATAGCGCTTTTTTTCCATAAATGAGAAAATGAGCTAAAAATGGGCCACCTGACAATTTTTATATTATCAGCATGACAGCATCACATCAATTGCTTACCATTTGTATAATCCTATTGATGTCAGTGGAGCAATTTGAGCTATTATAGCTACGCACTTCGGTATTTTCAATTATTCTATTCAAGCATATATATGCACATAGTCATATAATCGTTACCTTTCTGAACGAATATAATCAACATGAAATCTATCTTGCTTCTGCTAAAGCTTCTTAGCATATACTCACTTATACTGCTAAAAATGCTTGACGCTATTATGGAACGCTTAATATGTTCTGTGTAATGCAATACATTCAGGACAAATTGCAACTATGACATCATCGGCAAATGACTCAAGAAATATCACTTCATTTTTGCGGCAATATACTGTATTAAGCTGAGACTCTTATTCCCTTATTTGAATTAAGGGCTGAATATTTTGATAACAATTCGCACATAGCTTGGCATATACCTTTTCGCGATTTTCATGTTCATACAAAATCAATATTATCATAAATTACCCTCACCTAATGCTACGACATTTTTACATTAATACAACATTTTGACATTAATAATATCACTCTGAAAAACTAAGGGTTGGGTTCGTCTCACTTATCCTTGATCGTCAGATATTAAATTATACCAAATGAGGATATCAACCAAACTGTGAGAGACCAATGTCATTATTATTAAATCTTGAAGTTTTATTCGCTTTGAATGCCGTACGCTTAGCATTTGTTGCCTTTTCGAATTGACTAATAAATGTTCAGTCAAGCTTTGTGACTTTCCTTACGATGTATGAATATTAACGTTTCGCCTTCGATCGCGATCCAATTATAGCTGAAATTGTAGTTACAAATCACCGAAACAATCATCAGTTCATCACCCAGTCAAATACAGTTATCATTAATGCAATCTCTCATAAGCAGCAGAATAATTGTAGAAGACAACAGTTCAGTCATGGAAACTATTGCACGCTGAGGCTCCGGTCCATGGGCTGGTCGAAAAGTTAAATTTGTGGCTCACCTCTGCACCCGTCGTATATAGTGACCATTTTGGATACATTGAAAGCCTGCGAGTTAGTGCTTTACGACGATAATAAGTCCCCTGATATTAACATTATTACAAGATTCAAAATTGAATTCTGCAGAGGAATAATTCCTAGGCTAGCGAGGTTCATCCAGGTACGAATTCAGGACACCGACTCTTTAAATTAAAATCGAGGGTACATATTTGTGCCGTTTATTTACGCTGAGCGACGTGTGTGCAATATCGAAGCAACCTGAAGAACTAAATAACTTCATCGCCATTCAAAGGCGCTAGCGCTGTAGAAAAATCCTAATAGTATTAATTCCTTAAGAGTGTATACAAGCTTACGTGCCCTGGAGCTGGGATTGTTATAAGATTACGCCAAGCTTACGTGCCCTGGAGCTGGGGTGGGATTGTTATTAGAATATAAGCTTTACGCACATTGGAGCTGGGATTGCATGGCAAACATTTTTAGAATGAGGTAAGAAGCAGTCAATAGGGTCAACCTTTATTCGCGTCTAGAGAGGAGCCGTAGGGAGCGGACTTCGAGAAACGTTTAACTTATTGCACGGTTGTTCATTTGTTATCACTTTTAAACTTATTATAACCCTTTCATAAAGTCGATATTATTGTCTGGATATTTAACAAGTGAATTTTATGAAGGAATAAAGTATTTCAATTTTCTGCTCGATTAATTATGAAAGGTTGTAGGATAAGATAGTTGTCTAAGGTTTAATGCAATCAGTCTAATCATTTATTTAGAACATAACTTTTTGAAGCTAACAGCAAAGAAGAAGGAGCGTCACTTAAATTGGAGATGGAAGGATTCCGCACTCCCATAAAGGACAAACCAATATCGCGAGTTAATAAACATAGAACATGATAAAGAGACCAAGATAATTTTTAAAACAATTCATGTACAATAATTACATGACGCGATACCAAACTACAGTTGTACCTGGGAACTTGTACCCATTGTTGAATTAATATATTAATTCAACCATGCTTGTACCTGCAGCCTCACAGCTCAGTGATCAGCTTGGTAGAGACATGCGACCAAGGGCCTAATATAACTGGTCAGGCCTGACAAGAGGGGTTATTACTTGCAGTATTGCGTACAAACTTGCAAACGCCCGATCAAATAACTCAAATTAATACACATACTACATGNAAATGTTGCGAAAACTGTTAAAATTACAATCGTTGTAATGATTTTCATGTATCACTATGCGCGATGCTAAGAAATTACCACGAAAAACATGTGACCCTGCATGAGAAACCCGAATTCTAAAATAATCGTACAAGTAGGTTCCTAGTCTGCAATTGGACAATTTTTTTATCCGTGAGCCCTAATTGACGGTTGCATGACACATCTACGATACAAGAAACGCTTATCGTTCACCGCCTCAGCCAATAGCCTTCAGTCACCCAATACAGACTCTGCGAAGAATGCTTTCGTGCCCTGTATAGTCTTGTCATTTAAATCCTGCACCTCTATTCCCTAAGTCCTGCAAATCGGCGACACTTTATTTATCTGCCGTGAGGGAGAATCGTCTGGGCGAAAAACCTTGAGGATATAACCCGTTGCCCTTGACAGCGTGGCATTACAAGCTCCTCGCGATACCGCAAGATACCATCCTTGTTTCCCTGCATGCTGCCGGACAAATTATTCCTAAGTTTCTAGGCAGAGTTTGTGGCTTAGCCTACTACTGTATGAGCCTGATGCTTGAACAGTCGATGTAAATTTTTTTTTACTTGAAAGTTTTCAAAAATTGAAGCAACGTGTCTGAATGATCTTTGACCGGTCGATTTGTGTTGTGTCATCAAAACACTAGATTTTGTGTGTTTTTACTGCCGAGGACCTGTTCATTGATAGGTGATTTGCGTACAAGTACAATTAAATGATGCTGCTTTTGAATTATCCTACGTACTCATATCAAAAAGGCTACATTCTCAAAGGAGAACGTATGAAATGCTTCAATATTAAAAGGGTAAGAAGGTGCGTGAGTCGTTGAATGGGCGCCGGGCGAAACGCACGATTACTGGCCGCGGGCATCGCCCTCTTCAAGAGAGAGGTTCAACGTCACCTTTCTCCAGATAAACCTTATACGTCTCTGTTATTTATACCAGCACGTATAGTGTATACCCTGTTATGTGCCTATGTATGCCTGTACACCATGTTTTATGTCCCTGCCTGTTTGTACGCCTATAAGCCAACATTCCTGTGCCATGCCACAGCGAGAGTTTCCTCCTAGGCGACGTTGAGGTTCATATAGAAGAGCTGCAAATGGACGAGCAGCCAACGAGATTGTGGTGCATGGATATGAGTTCAAGTAAAATATTTACAATTTTATTTTTTCAGAATACTCTGCAAACAACTTTGGATTCCAAAAATGATTCATGAGTGTGCAAAAAGATTATATTATTTCCATGCACTGACACAAATGTTTAAATAAAGACCCAGCGACTAAGGATGATGTAGGTTTACTAGTGAAATTACTCAAGTTGAATTTACAATTTTCCCAGCCACTTGAAACGGGAAGATGAAATCGAGTTGAGTCAAAGGACAGACAACTTGACTTTGGTGCTGCAGCGCATTTTAGAGCGGCTCCCAGTGCATCGTCGTGCACGGATAACTTTGACCACTATCTTACACAACAAGAAATAGAAATAATGCATGACTAATGTAACAGACAATGTAACGATTTTAAGAGGATGAAATCAATCAGCATGCTTAATGTTACGACGGTTCAGGCCAATGCAAGAAAGAGAATGTTGAATGACTTCATTATTTAACGCCGTTTAGTGACAGCAAGATCGGCTATTGTCTGTAACAACATACTCGTATAATGGCGTACATAAAACATGTTCTACAATGCGAGGCGACATTGGCAGCCATGTAACGAGGTTCAGAGCAGCACCGCTAGGTATAACCTATCTCGTCTGTCAAACTCGTGTGCTGCATATTTTAAACAAGTTACGAGAATATTTGTCCAACGTATTTGTTACGAGAATATACGAGTTCTTTTCTCCGCATTTATTAATGATTTTTTCATGAAATTAATATCAAGCATGAAGGCGACTTATTGGATGTATTTTCCGCTCATCCATGCAAAAACTTTCCATGATGAAGTGTAGGTGACCGGAATTTTGTAAGTTCACAAAGCAACGCGGATAGTGCACAAATATGGCCCATCAATTTAACTCACTTGAACTTGAGACCAAAAGCTTGACTGTGCTTATTTTTCTTTTCTGCACTATACTTCTCAGGGAGGTTATTGCACTGCGAGCATTTGTGCGTGGGTGTCTCTTAATGCAGTGGGTGCATCAGCGATCCAGTTGATCAGCGAGACATGGCGGCAGAGCAAATTTACATAATGACTCAAAAACCTATTTAACCTTCAACAGATTTTTAATCCTTGTAGTACAATCGACCGCCGTCGATATCTATGATAGTGCTGAAATTTCAATTTTCAAGTGGATAAGACCTCACGTTCAAGGTCATTTAGGAATGCATATCATAATAAGTGTACAACTGCCGTTCGACCATTTTACGAATATGATTATTCTCAATGCAAGAGTTTCCATTGAGCATCAGCAACAGTAATGACATAAACAGCCATTCTCTTCATTGTTCATAGCCATCAATAACTCGATGTCTGGACGCATGCAGCAGGAAGAAGATATTAATCTTTGTGGCAGGGATGTCTGACTCAGGACTACGGAATTCTTGAGAGCAGGAACCGGTTCTGGATCTTTCCCATCACAAGATCCTAGTTATATACATATGTTTCGTAGAATATTTCTATTCAACACTATGACTTTACAGAAATATGAGTATTTCCCAAGTTGCATACAGTTTGAATGTTGCATTATTGACAGTCGAGGCAGCCTGCAGCACGTATCCCTGACCGTGTTCCACTCCTTCATACATCCTACTACTGCGCAGCAAAATGTCCTTCCTGGGCTGCGTTTGTGCTAAGCACGACACCAGCACAAAACATGGAAGCAGCGAAACGCTGGTTATGGTGTCCATCATGTACGTATAAATTATTCCCATGATGTCAACTGGCACAAACAGAAGTTGCTCCTTCTGTCTATTGGGGGTGAGGGCGCCAAGCTGACATTTGCCGTCAGGGAGCGCCATGCTTTGTCGACACGTTTGGTTTGACTTTCCCGGCGATTTAGAAAGGGCTGCGTTTGTGCTAAGCACGACACCAGCACAAAACATGGAAGCAGCGAAACGCTGGTTATGGTGTCCATCATGTACGTATAAATTATTCCCATGATGTCAACTGGCACAAACAGAAGTTGCTCCTTCTGTCTATTGGGGGTGAGGGCGCCACGCTGACATTTGCCGTCAGGGAGCGCCATGCTTTGTCGACACGTTTGGTTTGACTTTCCCGGCGATTTAGAAAGGGAAACCTTTGTCCTTATGCCGCTTATTGCATGGGAAGCTAGGACAGGAATGATAACTTTTTATGCGTTATGGTGTTGAAAAATATTGATATTTCTGAATATTTTTAATTCACGTACAAAATTGAATGAATTAGAAATTAACGATGAAATGCTTGATTTTATTCAAATCGTTTTCCGCGAAGCGTATCAAACAGAAGGCTTAAAAAACGCAACATTACAACAATAAAATAGAAATGTCGTCTTCACAGACCATCAGAGTTTTTGAGAGCCTAAGGAACAGTTTCGCTTTCTTCGACCGCTGGGGCTACCGATAAATGTACTTTCCCTGGTACGAAGACGTCAATTAAATGTTTCTCGTGACGCTCAAGACGTCATGTCGCGGCGCTGCACACAGAATCGCGAGAATGATTCACAGCTTTGGTGGTGAACAATAGAGTCAGAGAAGGCATTCGGCGAACATAATATTTCGCGATTTAAAAATTATAAAATTGTACATGCAGTTGGCGCGCGAGAGTCGTGAGAAGAACATGCATGGTTGCAAACCTCACCTTCCGTTAAAGAAGCATGCCATTGACAAAAGGCTTCTAAATGTGAAATGAAACTCGATACTTCTTTTTCAGAAGTAGTAAAAGAATTCCATTTAGATTTTTGGCACCTAATTGAAGATAGGTATTTATAACTGTTGAATCTAGAAGTTAAGACTCTTGAAAAGATGCATAGATAACTTGTATACCTGTAAACTCTCAAATGTGGTAAAATAAAGGCCGTAATATACACATTGTACGTTTACCAGACAGAGTTGCTTACATGCAACTTGTGCACGTCGCTTAAGCTATGTCCATGGCCCGTGCGCACGCTATAACAACAACACAGCGTGAGGCATGCAAACACTTTCTCCTCGCGGGCATCTGCCGTGTGCACTCCCGAAATGTTCCTATTTGTGCCCCGTCATCGTCATGCGTGGCATACAACAATAACAACTTGGCCATCCAAACTCAGTTTCTCGTTAGATTCGAAATTAGTGCAATTGATCAAGCGAAGCTGTTGCGAGGAATCATTCTGAGAGAGAACTCTCTGTCAATTCAATACGTATCACATCAAAATTTCAGACATTGTTCATGCTATTTGTTCAAATTTTGGTATTCGTTTATTTTCAAGAGTTAAGGCTAATTTATGACATCGAACTCGAATGACGCATTAATCACCTTAGCTTCACGTGAGTTAAGGTAACTGTCGATGTAACAGACAGTAACGAGGCAGAGAACGCATCTCGCTAACACCACATCTCTGATGTGGCATTGTTGAAGTCGCCAATAAATATCAAATCCGAAGCACGCAACCGCAAGTCCCGCGGTAAATAACGTTTAGCGGTCACTCTCAGCAATATTGAAATTCACTTTCAATTGAAAGTGCGTCTCATTAAGAGGCAGACGTATTCAAGAGCCATGTAGTGGGGATCACTATAAAGCTGCTACACAAATTAAAAAAATGCCCATTCTATTCCACTCTTGCATAACATATTATATTATTATAATTCGCTTTTCAACACGATTCAAGCTCAATCAAGTTAATTTAACTAAGCAATTTATTTTCTAATGTGTGTGTTACTATAATTACATATGGATCTCAAGCTTGTATATATACTAACCATATTTGAAAATAATTTCTTTGTATGAAATATTTAAAATTTAGACAGTACCAAACGAGAAACACATTTTGAAAGACATTTTTTTAAATTATGAGATAATTATAAGGCCGATAAGTATCATGGATTGTATTTTACATTCGAAACAAAAAGCTAGCACGATCGATCGTGATGAGCAACCAGAGGCTTCCTCTGACATAAGTCGCGCTCGTCTTCCTGGCTCTTGAGCAGAAGTTTTTCCTCAATTGCGATGGAATTTTTTGTGGACTTTCAGCTCGAGGTTTTTGTTAAGCATGGCTAAGCAGTGACAGTTTCACGCGGAACTCGCATTGTGCAGCAAAATTGTCACTACATCGTTTGACGAAAGCATCGTGTCGTATTATATTTGTTCATATACTGTGCAATTTATGTGTTGCTCAACTTTGTTAAATAATCTAGAGCCAAGTGTGACGCCTCGACGAAATAATAATTAGTCTGCGTTGCACGTAATCTTCATGAAAAGTCTGTTTGAGGAGCTGACCGATTTTTGTAAGAGGTCGAAACTTTTATTTGAAATTTGGCTCCCAGAATGGCTTAAGACATGGTGCGAATAGTCGGTTGAGAAGTTGGTTCGTGCAACCACTCAAGACACCCATTGTGGTGCGTAGTCGGTTCAGAAGTTGAGCGAGTTGCACGTTCGATGGTGACAAATGGTTGCAACGCTCATTGTAAAAACCTATAAGTTGTTAAACCGTTGGAAAAAACTGGATAGGTTCTAAGAACTAACGTATTTATTATAATTATGATGCTTTTCACAACAATGAACTATAACAATCAAAGCCTACTAGATGGAGTCACGAATGACACTAAAGGTATCGTTATTGCAAATTGTGGAATCACCGTACATTAGCTTTGGCAAAAATATAATTTTCATATTCACTACTGATAAATGTTCGTTTCTTGGCATTTGACCTTATTTCTGGTGTGTTTCTACAGATCCTTCAAGATCCCAGCGCATCCTCGTATCGACATGAGGCGATTGCTACCAGGCTTCACTCTCTTGATGGTAAGTTGTAACAATTTACAATTTTGAACATTAAAGGACAGAAGTTGTAGTAATCTACAATTTTGATCCGTTTAAGACGAGATGCGTACGTTTCCAAGCTATGATCTGCGAGTGTTATTCGTGTTCTCTCAGAATAGAATAGAATAGAATAGAAGTGTCGGCACCGAAACTAGGCCCATGGCCTGTTGCAGATTCTTGTACTTTTCGTGACTTGATTCCACAAAGGATCCGGCCTTATGAACCCGATCTTACCATAACTGACCATTGATTGAGATAGCTCTTGGACTTATTGCCTGGTCCGTAAGGTGCTAGGCATTTCAAGACTGAGAATATGCTCTTGCTTAGCTTCGTCTAGACTCTACTGACTCAAGTCGGTTCTTGAATGCGTTCTCTAGTGGTAGCCTCAAGCAAGACAACTCGAAACGTTTAATATGGTTCATAGAAAAATTGAAATACACCTACTTTAACCCTGAATATTATTTATGACAAACCATATGAAACATTTAATGATGCTTCCAAAATAATGTTTAGAACTGATTGTATTACGAATTCCCACTTGAAGCCAACCCCAAAATGGTTTATTAACAAGTGATTGGAACATTGTGTATATATTTAGCACGTATTGTTTTGTCTGCCTGTTTACTTGTTCCGCACTTTCCTCGTTAACTAATTGAAGCATCGTTTTTTGAAAATCTTATTCTTTAATTAGGTTTTCATTTGTACATTGAGCTTGCAGTTGTTGTAATATACTATAATTTATTTAATGATTGATTGCATCGTGTCGCTGGATATGCATAATTCTTAGCCGCATGTTCAAATGCCTTCTTTATACATAGATGCTATTTCATTGGTCGGTGATGTGCCCATCTTGGGATCGAAATAGAACGAAAATGCAATATACAATAAATTTTGTCAGCATTTAGTAATAAACAATGTAAAATGTATAGGTTGATAAATTATGTCTGAGTAATTCTAAATACTAACAATGAAAGGCATTTAACAATAATTCTGATTGGGGCTACTGGTCAAAACAAACTCACACAGACGCAACATCGGGAGGACTCTGCACTGTTCTTCAGTTGCTGTAACACTAAAGCTTTATTTGCCTCCAAACGTATTGGATTGATTACTTTCAATACTCGCACATACTCATTAATATATAAAACTGACACTTTCTGCAGGTGCTAGCTTCCAGCCAGCTCACTTCGGCCGCCCAATTACCGGCATTTTCCGGAGCCGGAATGCCTACCGTCCAGTCCTTGAAGGCAAAATGCGGACGGCTGGGGATGACAGTGAACGTGGTCTTCGACCAGGCGTTCCCGGGCATCATTTACTCGAAGGGCCACTACGCCGACAAGCGATGCAATTACGTTGGAGAAGACAACAAGTTTGGAGCCAAGGAGTTCTCGTGAGTCCTATTTAATTGAGATAACTTGCTCTGCAGAATAAAATATTGAATTCATTTAAGTGAATAAAAATATTGAAACTACACCTTTTAGCTGAGAAAATCTAAATAAGATATCACTAAAAATAGGTAATAGGTATTAGGAGGTAATAAGCAATTTTCATTACCTGGTTAAAAAGTTTCTGTTGTTAATATAATAAAATAAATAAAATAAAATAAAAATATGTTAACACACTGCATCGGAACAATAGAAGAGCAGCTCTGTCTATGTTGGGATGCATAACATATGGACGATCGAGGAGCTCGGGTTATCATTTTAGGCAAGACACAAGTATAGACTATAAGGAATTCAGGTTTTCATTATTTACTTAAAGATTCGATCTATATGATATTATGATTAGTACGAATCGCTATAATATTAATAATTATCATCCATCATCACTCAATATTGAATTTATTGTCAGGTTTCTGATTCCTGTTGACGATTGCGGGACTGCGGGAGAGATGGCGAGCGGTCGCTCAACTAAAGATGGCTTTTACGAGAACACAATCATAATACAGGCAAGCGCTGACGTTCAGCCGTCTTCTCTCACCGTGTCATTATCATTAGCAATTTTGTATTTACAATTAACGAATTTTTACTTTTTGTTCAATATAATTCAGAAATTTTTTAAACCATACTTGAAAATCAGCTTGAAATAATGCGAATTAGGCCTGTGTACTCAACAATATGTAAGTATGTTAAGAGACTATCAGGATGTGACTAAATTAGCGTCTTCAAATCTGTTAATAATAGCCAACCATAAATAGAAGTCTTATTATAAAACACAAAACAGAAACAAACGTTTCATACTAGGGTACGTTTAGTTCATAGTTTATTATTAAAAAAAACGCATTTTCCCTCATTCTAGCTAATATCAATTTGTTTCTTATAAAATTATTCAATACGTAGACATTGTTTATTGATTTATTAGCGCATTTTCTCATTCATTTATGGAAAAAATGCACTATTGTGCTCGCCATGTCCGTCCGTCCGTCTCTCTGGCTGTCTGTCCGTCTGTCCGTCCGTCCGTCCGTGACCTCAAGTTTTCGTCGACGAGAAAATGCGCTCTCTGTCACTCACTGCAGTGAGTACTGAGTTATATTATTTATTGATTTGTTTGGTTGTTAGCTGGACCCGCTGATCACGGAGGTGTGGGACGAGGCCCGCCTCTTGAGGTGCTCGTGGCCCCACAGCCTCACGAAGAAGGTGGCGGCCGCGCCCTTCTTCGTGGCCCAGTCTGATAAGGTGCATGGCGCTCCTGGCTAGTGCTTCTCAGAATTTTGATCATTTGAATAATATTTTGAGCATTAATTATTTTTAATAAGGAAATTACTATCAATTGAGCTTGAACTGAATAATACACATTTTTAAAGTTGACCTATAAGTACCTATTTTAATATTTTTATTTAAGTAGAGTTTGAATTCACTCATATTATTAGAAATTCTTGGAATTATGAAGAAAGTGATATTTCTTCACCTGTTTCTCTTAAAGCTTTTCAAATTCTTCAAGTTTTCTGTTTATTATTTCTATGTTTGCTTGTTGGAATTAATTATGAAATAAATGAGATAAATACAATTTTGGATTATTCGTGATTTATATCAGACTTGAGCGGGATGTTAGAACTTAAAGTCGAATTAATAAGCAATTAAATGAAATAAATAGAATTGACCTCGTGAACCATGAAGCGACACCATCTTACTGGCAGGTCTCAGTAGAGTTCGACAAGCGTTCCATCAACACACTCATGGAGGTGCAGCAAGGCCCCAGCCCTCTCGCCGCCCCAGCCTCAGGTTATATTTACGCCGGTGCTGAGTCCTCCATGGTCATCTACATCCAGGGTAATGCCGGCAGCAGTGATAACTATTATCATAACAATTTATTAAATCATGGGAATGGTTGACAACACCTACTATTTTATGCATCTCTATTTATTTGTTTCATCCCTTTTTTTCTTTTTAATAATACGAATTTTGCGTTTCTGGTTTACATGATATATTTCCTGATTTTGAAGAAATAAATAGGTTAAATAAGCGCATTTAACGAATGCTGGTATTTTACTTTCAAACACAAGATCCCGGAAAGAATATGGACGCGAATGTGGTGAACTGCAGCGCCTCAAACAGAGGCAAATCTTCCGTGCAACTGCTGGACGAGTCAGGCTGTCTCCTCAGACCTGATCTCATGACTCGCTTCGACAAGTCCAGAGACAGCAACGGCGTTAGAGCTGATCTGATGCTCTACTCTTATCTCAAGGTACGAAAGTAGTTTAGAAACCGAGTCTATGGGCACAGTTTGGGCTAATCAGTCTATGGTCTTTCTTGGGCTAATCAGTCATTGGATTAATCAGTCTATGGGTTAATCACAGGTCACTGACCATTTACCCACAATCTTACCCCGAATCTTGGCCATCAAAATTTTGTTAACAACCATTTAACCCCGATCAAAACCTGACCATTACCTCGATTGACTGAGCGCTCGCATTATTTTTTTAATGTCCGGCATCAGTAAATTTTGGAAACTGTTCGTTACTAATAACCTAGAGCGAGTGTCAAAATGGAAGATAATTTTTTGGGATTTATAATTGATTTGAATTTTTTAAATACTTTTCAGAACCTGGGTGCTCATTTTTTTATCAACACAAAACTATATGGTACTATGTACGTTTCATTACACAGTTCTTTAAAACTGCCCAAAAGGCTTATATCACAAGCAATGTAACCACTGTGAATATCCTTCATATCAATGATAGGTATCTCGAATAGAATTAATAAATTCGAATTCGTTCTAATGGGTTGTCTTGGTAATATGACAGTTTGGGGAGAAGTAAATTGAATTACAGTTATTGTATCTTCCACGGGTGTATAATTGATTAGCAGGATTTTTCTATTGTGATAATCGCTGTAGTTTATTAGTAACAAACATTTCCAAATTTTGATGAAAGATGGTGGTTAAAAAAAAACTATTGTGAGCGCTCAGTCAATCGAGGTAATGGTCAGGTTTTGATGGGGGTAAATGGTCGTTAACAATATTTTGATGGCCAAGATTCGGGGTAAGATTGTGGGTAAATGGTCAGTGACCTGTGATTAACCCATTTATGCAAACTGTGACCATAGACACGCTTTCTATGCTACTTACGAATTTATATACAATTCATTGTTTAGTCAATTACATATTTTGAAAGAAATGTGCATGTTGAATGACCCAAAAATTCCTCCTATCTTTTGAGAAACGATTATGACCCAAGGGCTTATTTCTGCAATAAATTTTTCCATGAACTCCATTAAGATTAATGAAATTTCTGGTTGGTCTTTTGAGAGCTCTATTCCTAAGTATCGGTCCTCTGTAAGAATCCTATTCTAAATTCCCACAGGATTTTGATGCAAGCAAAGCAGCTGATTTTGTAATCCGTTGCGAGCTTGAGCTCTGCAAGGGAGGGTGTTCACTGCCATGCTTGGAGGCCAAAACTCGCAAGAGGAGAAACGTCCGAGGCGACGCTTCTGACCTCGCGTCACCGCATGAGGGGGCGTTCTCTCACGAATCTGTTGGAGGTCTCATCGAGCTAAAAGAAACTTTACGTCATGGCATGAACGCTGAAGAAGGAGCATTCTTGGTCATCAAAAGAGAAAATCAAGGTGAATTGTCTTGGCAATGATGAAGTGAATTCATTTTGTTAATAACAAATAATAAAATAATTAATGTAACAAATATTTTTTTATTCGTGAGAATTATTAGCACTCATTTATTCAGAATACGCATCAAATCAACAAAGGTGTTCACAATTAGTGACGTTGACTTTCCATAGTCACAGTTAATAAGGTAATATTAATAGTATAGTGGCATATGAAAATGGTAATTTTTATTTATTTTCAGAAGGAATTAAGTCTGGATGCAGCTTATCTTGGAGTGTGTTCGTGTCGTTGCTGGCTCTGCTGCTCATCATTGCGGCGCTGGCTCTACTCTCATGTTATTTGGCTGTTAAACTCATAAAAGGAGGGAAATTTTATAGTACATAAGAAAGTGATTATCCCTATGATTGCAATTTATTTGGGTCCCCATTGAGATGCTCTCATACCGGTTTGCGTGCCCTGCAGCATGTGCGTCAGGGTGATGCAGATGATTGGGGGGAGACTTCTCAACCACGCTAAAAGAACTTTGGCTTCAGCGTTTATTAGGCTGTAGGCCTGTCATCGCCTCTTAACATCGCAGAGCATTCACAGCTCCCTGCGGTCTCGAACTGAACTGTAACCACTGGGACACCCTCTATGGGACTATTCTCTGGGTCCAAATATATTGGCACTCTTAATGGTGACTATATAACATTTTCGGAATTATTAAGTAAATCTGCATAAAGATAACACACATGCGACGAAGCTTAAAGTTTGTTTAATAAAGCCAATCCACTTCAAGACAATCATATTCCTAATGGCTCATACCAAATTTGTTGGAGACAAAGATTCGTGTGTCATTTGCAGAATATTGTAAAAAAATGTTCGTTTCCACCACCAGTTTCTCATGACCTGAGACAAAATGTTTGTTGTATGATTTTTTTTCTATTAACATTTTAGTTAGCAATTTAGAAATAGGTGACATTATAGCGAATTTTTTTGAACTACATAAAACCCTACGAATTAGCTTTAATGTTGCTTTTATTGCTACGGCTAAAGTCTTGTTTGTACATATGTGTTGTCTGAGTAGCAAATGGCAATCAACTAAATTATCCTCGTTTATGTGATTTACGCTAAAGTAAAATGGCAGATAAACTTTGTCTTACCGGATTGTTTTTTTTTCTTTATTGGGAATGATTGTTTAAAACACCAGGAAGCTAATTCTTCTCGGATAATTATACGTTCAGTCTCCAAGATTCAGCGAAAATGAAATAATAATAATAGCGGTTTCAGCGTTTAGTAGGCCGTAGGCCTGTAGCCGATTCTAAACGTCGCAGAACATTCACACCATTTTGCGGTCTCGAAATCGCAGCTCGCTGCTACAATTCTGCTGTACTTATAACCGCCCGGCCTCCTTGCCGATTCTGACCGGAAACTGGCGCACAGAGCTGGGATCGAACCCGCGCCTCTCTGCGCCAATCCTGCTACTCTGAACTTTAATTAACCACTGGGACACCCTGCCCAATAACCACTGGGCCACCCTGCCCAATAGGGTAATATCCCCAAACTAATCAACGTAGCTCGGTGGAACTCTGCACATGCATTCATTAAAACCAAACGGTGATGTTTAGGTTGTGATAATTTATTTTTTATTTCGCCTTCGTTTGCGACGTAAGTGAACTGTAATAATAGAATGATGCTACATCAAAATTAGGTTTATTTAACGGATTCCTCGTTTAGCCTTATACCTTGCAAACGAAGGCGAAATAAAAAACTATCACGTCCTAGACATCACCATCAGGCCTAATGAATGAATGTGCAAAGTTTCATCGAGCTTCCTTCATTAGTTAGGGAGATATTTCTTGTTCACTGAAGTGTCGATTCAGTGAATCTAGGAGACGGCCGCAAGTCCGACCGGAGAATGACCCGATATTGAAACTAAATACTAATGAACAAAATTTAATAACACTGCTGTGTATGCCCGAAATTAATTTAGTAAAAATGTTTTCAAGTCTCTAAAAATTATTGTGTATAAACCAATTTATTGATTGTTTTCATAAAATATACGTATATGACGGACCTTTCCACGCCTATTCCTTAACGCCGAAGATACTATACTATAAGTTACTTTAAATTGTATTTCAATGAAGTCTTGAAACAGCGATGGCACCCGCGTCAAGTCGCAAACAATGAAAGGATATTTCACCTTAAAGACCTGTAGCGTCTTAATAGTCAGCTGCTGTTTACAGCAAAAAGTTATATAGAATAGAAGTGTCGGCACTGAAGAAATCGGCCCATGGCCTATTTCTTTAAGGCCATATAAACAATACGAGTGAATTTGAACATTTTCTTTCGCTCGTTATGGTAACATATCTTCAATTTCCTAAAATGCCTGCCTAAAAATTGCAAGAACGCATAAAGAGTCCCATCTACATTGAGAAAGGCCTCGCCAGCGACCGCTAGACGCAACAAATTGTAGTGAGTCATGTGTCGCTGACAGATATGGTGCGGGATCTACAGGTAAGCACAATAATATTATTGCAAATGATTAATTGCTCCTCTTTAACGTGGATGAGCTTAACAAGTAATGAAGTGCTTCTAGAAATCTAATTATTTAAAGTAGTAAAATTCTTATTTTCTTTAATTGAAACCAATTATACTCCAGGTCGCACAGTCGTAGCCAATGAATGGTGATCATCTTCATCTGGTAGCAGATATACCAACCAATAGTACATCAATATACTTGTGTGGAGAAATGAAAGATTCAAATTCTTCTATATTATAAATTTTTCAGTAACTTACATTCAACAGAATGGTTTAATAACCTTCATAAATGTTATACTGTTAATCTGTTATACATGCATGCAGAATCTATTCACTAGTCTATTGTGTTGCATCAGACTCAAATCTATCCTTAGTATCCTTAGTATTTGTTTGGGACATAGCAGTCCCGGCCTCCCGGCCCGGGAGTCCCGGGCCACGATGAATTTGATGAAATCTAATGATGGTTATTGGTTACTGTTCAACTTACTGGTTAGTTCTCAACTTCTCATTACGTGATTGGTGGTTGAGGTAGCCTAACTACAGTGCATTAACTGCAGATATAGGGTAAACGTGGTATATTCCGACATCGTAGGTAATTCCGTCACCTCTCCAGCTTTTCCTTTAAAACTACTGAAGAAACCTATCGACTATCAACTGCATAAATCCTATCGACTGGCATGCGGTTGTTCAACGACCAGATGACCTTGAGATAAATTTTACAACGACTCTTGTGCCACACTATGAGACCTGGGACACCACTCTGATGTGACTGCAACTACACAACCTTCAAGCCTTCAAGGAAATGTTTTGGGATAGCTTGTTATTGCATTCTGCAGGATATTTTGGTGGGAGCTTTGAAGTTATGCCAATTGTGGAAGCTGAAAATTTTGTGAAACAACACGTTTGCAAAGTGAAAATAGTAATATTTTTCAATCAAACAAAAATGCATAACATTAGAGCCATGAGATTTCATACCTACTGAAATTATATGATATTACTGTCATCCATCTTTAATACAAACTATATAATATTGATTGGTTGCAGGTCAGTACATGATGCAACAAATACAAATTAATCTTAAGATGTAACTAGAATGTGCTAATTCCATGTGGTTAGGCTGTACAGTTCCTGAGTGTGGTAACATGAGTACAGTGCTGAATAATATGTGTTTCCTTCATTGACTGTCTCACACTGAGTGCAAAACAAGAGCTTAGTATTTGTTTCTCCTTCTCAAATAATTGCTTCCAAGTTCTTAAAATTGTAAATTTTAAATGGTTGATTGTCAATTAACAAGTACCTATCAGTTTGCAATTATTTTGAAATTAATCATATGAAGGAATCTTGGCCAATTAGTAGTGGAGTAGATTTTTGTGAATCACATTATACCTGTCATGGGAGACTGGGCAACGGACAGTCTATTGTCAATGACACCAGGATCACCAATGCACTCCACTTGTCAGTTTTCACAAATTTTACTTTTATCTAATATGTATGGACTGAAATGATTAATTTTCTGTTTGAGTAGAATGTTACAGCTTTTGCAATCTGACCTTAATGAACTAGTTTTTAACATTGATTTCCAACATAATCCACCAAAATATATGCATGTGATTAAAATATACTGAAAATATTATCGATTTTTTCTACAAAATGTAGTATTTGTTGTTGAATTAATTAGCACTGACTATTTTTGAAGTATCTCATCCGAGGGTTGCAATACCACTCTAGAAGTTATTGAGCACTGAGATGAAATGTGTATAGCCTTTAATTGGTTCTGTTATACTGGTTCTTTCACCAAGATATAAATTATAAAGGAATCTTTTTTTTGTCTGTGCGTTATTCTTTGCTTGCCTAAATGACTCGCACATTTAGTGCAGCTGCTGATTTCAATAGAAATATACCTGGCAGGTAACCACTGATAGTGCTCATAGTTTTCAGATTGTGAGCTCCCCTCTAACACAACTAATACCTCGGCATCCCTTCTTTGATGAAGCATTAACCCTTACAGACTGACATCCTACAGTGCTTGTGTGGTGAGTGTCCATTAATATTGCAATTAACTGGCAAAATGTTAGCATTAGCATTTTTATTTCCAAATTTCTAGATATCTCACAGTTCATCCATTATCCTTTGACTCTTTTCAGTATAAACGTCAGTGCAATGTGTACCTACAGTACAGCATCAAACTGGGCTATTTGCACAGCAGAACAGGATTTTGATGCAAGCAAAGCAGCTGATTTTGTAATCCGTTGCGAGCTTGAGCTCTGCAAGGGAGGGTGTTCACTGCCATGCTTGGAGGCCAAAACTCGCAAGAGGAGAAACGTCCGAGGCGACGCTTTTGACCTACCGTCACCGCATGAGGGGGCGTTCTCTCACGAATCTGTTGGAGGTCTCATCGAGCTAAAAGAAACTTTACGTCATGGCATGAACGCTGAAGAAGGAGCATTCTTGGTCATCAAAAGAGAAAATCAAGGTGAATTGTCTTGGCAATGATGAAGTGAATTCATTTTGTTAATAACAAATAATAAAATAATTAATGTAACAAATATTTTTTTATTCGTGAGAATTATTAGCACTCATTTATTCAGAATACGCATCAAATCAACAAAGGTGTTCACAATTAGTGACGTTGACTTTCCATAGTCACAGTTAATAAGGTAATATTAATAGTATAGTGGCATATGAAAATGGTAATTTTTATTTATTTTCAGAAGGAATTAAGTCTGGATGCAGCTTATCTTGGAGTGTGTTCGTGTCGTTGCTGGCTCTGCTGCTCATCATTGCGGCGCTGGCTCTACTCTCATGTTATTTGGCTGTTAAACTCATAAAAGGAGGGAAATTTTATAGTACATAAGAAAGTGATTATCCCTATGATTGCAATTTATTTGGGTCCCCATTGAGATGCTCTCATACCGGTTTGCGTGCCCTGCAGCATGTGCGTCAGGGTGATGCAGATGATTTGGGGAGACTTCTCAACCACGCTAAAAGAACTTAGGTGTCAGCGTTTCTTAGGCTGTAGACCTGTCATCGCCTCTTAACATCGCATAGCATCCTTGCGGCCTCGAACTGAACTGTAACCACTGGGCCACCCTCTATGGGCCTATTCTCTGGGTCCAAATATATTGGCACTTTTATTGGTGACTCTATAACATTTTCAGAATTATCAAGTTTTCGAAGCTGGAAGTTTCTTGTTTAATAAAGCCCACCTCTCTCTCACATGCTATCCCACCTCTCTCACTTCAAGACAATCCTATTCCAATGGCTCATACCAAATTCGTTGGAGATGAAGATTCGTGTGTCATTAGCAGAATACTGTAAGAAATGTTCGTTTCCACCACCAGTTTCTCATGACCTGAGACTAAATGTTTGTTGTATGATTTTTCTTCTATTGACATTTTAGTTAGCTATTTAGAAATAGGTGACATTGTAGCGAATTTTTTGGACTACATAAAACCCTACGAATTAGCTTTAATTCTGCTTTTAGTGCTCCGACTAAAGTCTATTTGTACATATGTGTTGTGTGAGTAGCAATCAACCAAATTATCCTCGTTTATGTGATTTACGCTAAAGTAAAATGGCAGATAAACTTCGTCTTACCGGATTGTATTTTCTTTATCGGGAATGATTGTTTAAAACACCAGGAAAGGAAGCTAATTCCTCTCGGATAATTATGCGTTCAGTCTCCAAGATTCAGCGAAAATGAAATATCTCCCAAACTAATCAACGTAGCTCGGTGGAACTCTGCACATGAATTCATTAGAACCCAGCGGTGATGTTTATGTCGGGATAATTTTTTTATTTCGCCTTCGTTTGCGACGTAAGTGAACCGTAATAATGTGATGATGCTTCATCAAAATTTGGTTTATTTAATGGATTCCGCGTTTAGCCTTATACCTTGCAAACGAAGGCGAAATGGAAAAAACTATCACGTCCTAGACATCACAATCGGGCCTAAAGAATGAATGTGCAAAGTTTCATCGAGCTTCCTTCATTAGTTTGGGAGATATTTCTTGTTCACTGAAGTGTCGATTCAGTGAATCTAGGAGACAGGCCGTAAGTCCGACCGGAGAATGGTCCGATATTGAAACTAATAAAGAAATTTAGATATCACTGCTGTGTATGCCCAAAGTTAATTTAGTAACAATTTTTTCAAGTCTCCAAAAATTTTTGTGTAAAAACCAATTTAGTGATTGTTTTCATAAAATATACTTATATGACTGACCTTTCTACGCCTATTCCCCGCCGAAGATATTATACTATAAGTAACTTTAAATTGTATTTCAATGAAGTCTTGAAATAGCGATGGCACCAGCGTCACGTCGCAAACAATAAAAGGATATTTCACCTTAACGGTCTGTAGGGTCTTATTAGTACTCGGCTGTTTGAGCAAAAAGTTATATAGAATATAAGTGTCGGCACTGAAGAAATCGGCCCATGGCCTATTTCTTCATTGCCATATAAACAATACGAGTGAATTTAAACATTTATTTTCGCCCGTTATGGTAACATATCTTTAATTTCCTAAAATGCCTAAAAATTCACTGTCATTCACGTTCTTTATTTGCAAGAACGCATTAAGAGTCCCATCTACATTGAGAAAGTCCTCGCCAGCGACCGCTAGACGAAACAAATTGTAGTGAGTCATGTGTCGCTGACAGATATGGTGCGGGATCTACAGGTAAGCGCAATAATATTATTGCAAAATGCAAATGATTAATTGCTCCTCTTTATCGTGGAAGAGCTCAACAATTAATGAAGTTCATTTAGAAATACAAATATTAAAAGTAGTAAAATTCTTATTTTCTTAAATTGAAACCAATTATATTCCAGGTCGCTGTGGTCGTACCGAAGGGTCAAGACTCTAGGCTAGTCTAGGCCTACTGTAATTGTAGAACAAGTCAATAAATTTTAGTTAAATTGATCAATGGACATGGTGAAATTTACCGCAAGGTGTCATAAGTGAATAGCCTAACTATTTTTTACACTTGAATCAGTTGAATGACCATAGTCCACACTCCACAAGGCACAAGCACTGTTGCTGTGAACTGTAAAACACACATGACAATGATGACATGATCATGATGACAACTTATAGGTAAAGAGGAAATTATAAATTCATGCAGAATTACAGAAGTTAATCTACTCTACAAGAAAAAATTATCCAAATATAATTGAACAGCCATTTTTTTATCTGTCTAGCCAGTCTAGGGGACTAAGGGGAATAATAAGGCTTTATTTAATATCTGAGATTGGATGCTCTATCCTACCAAATTACCATCAGCTTACTGCTCATGTCAGTCATGTGGAATCCAGACTCATTCCAGAGGGGGTAATATTAATATATTAGCTGGTAATTTTTGTGGTAAACATAGCAAATTGGAAAGCAGGACCTAAAAATCTGGAAAGGCTAGCATACTTACATTTAAAGAGTTACAGTTACAGTCCATCATCATCAATTCACTCATAAGTTTCTGTCTCTGCAAGCTGCCACAGCTGTTTCATTGGAAAAAAGCGCTTGCATCATCACAGTAAAATTAATCCAATTAACGCTTGAACGCCTCCAACGTTAGTCACAAGAATCCAATCCATGCTTGAATGCATCCAATTTAACAGTCATAGGGATCCAATCATTGCTAGGACGTGTGCAATGTCACAGCCACTGGAATCCAATCAGCATTGGAAAGCTAGAATGGACTGCCTCCAAATGCACACAATGTTAATGCACTGATGCTAATTTAATGCTACTGTAATACTAACAAAGATCCCCAAAATTTTTCTAATATTTAATTGAAGGGACAGCAAATCAGCAATTGAAAAAAATGAAGGGAAATCATCAAGAAACTGAGAGGCAATTAAATAAGGAGACTAGGTACATCTTTTAAGCACAAAATGCTTGAAGAAGTTCATTCATTTCTTATTCCAAGTGCGTAATACAATAATGTAGTTATACATTCACTATTGATGGAAATTGCAAAGAATAACATCTTCACTATGTACATTCACTTGCAAATACATGAAAAACTGCCTATGATTCAATCCACAAATAAAAAACTGATCACTGATGCAATCAGCTGAGATATGCTAACTCCTTGCAGTTGGTATCAGGATTCAGGAATACAATCCAAACGGAAATAATAACAAAAATGTAGCAGAGATACCAACCAATAGGACATCAACTACTCATGTGGAGAAATGAAAGATTCAAATTCTTCTATATTATAAATTTTTCAGTAACTGACATTCAACAGAATGGTTTAATAACTTTTGTAAATGTTATACTGTTATACATGCATGAAAAATTTATTGTGTTGCATCAGACTCAAAGCTAATGATGGTTACTGGTTAGTTCTCATTACGTGATTGGTGGGTGAGGTAACTACAGTGCATTAACTGCAGATAAAACTCCCGAACTTTGAGATGATCTTGGGACCTTCTCTGTGTTGCCTCACATAACGTTCATGCCAAAGTTAATTTCTGACAGCCTGCAAACCGGTTTCTAGTTGCGTTGAACATTTTTTCAAGGCGGAACACTTTTTTTAAGTGACCCACTAATCTTAGAATTCCATCCTGCCATCAGGCATTGAATATATCTTCGTGGCAAGTGGAAGCCGCGACTGGATTTTTTGAGCCGTAGTTTTATGGGTTTGCCATCCTTGATTCTATTTCTTCAAGCCGTGAATTCCATATCTCGGCCATGAAAAGCTATTTACAAGCTGTAAACTTGTTCACAAGGTTGCATGCATGTGCTGTCCCAAATATCTAATTTCACCCTAAAAACAGTCCTATCATATGGCAACACTAACAATTGTCTTCACTTACGTGGCACTTAAACATGTGATAATGCATCTGACACCGCCCAGGTCTCATACAATGGTAATAGTCGTTGTAATTTCAACGACTTTCGCTGAAGTTATCGACCAATTTTTTTACTTTACAACGACTTTCAAGGGCCGGAAAAGTTCATGGTTCTTAAATAATCCTCGCTAGCTTCTGTGATGCTCAATGCTCACCCTGAAGTCTGGCAGTTCCTGAAGGACTTTCATTTCATTTTCTCGTCTTGGCTCACTGCGGTTGCTGGTAACTTCTTCAAAATATGCTTCAATGAGAATATCATTATATTTCTTAGGCTCCACCGTGGCCCTTAAGTAATTTTTTGTATGAGCTTATGTATAGTATATTTGCGTTTTTCCAAAATGCCATCCACCGCTCCCTTCTTTGCCGCCTGTTCCTTAGGTTCGTGCGAGGCCTGCAGCTGCAGTTAAGTTTCCTCGTGATATTAAATCAGTCTCAAACTCTCCAGATCTATTAGTGTAGTCACAATAAGCCTGCTCATACCATTACTTTTTCTTCATGAGAACTCCTCCGTTATTCGAAATTTTATGTACTGGACCTGTTCTTACCTGGACCTCTTACGACTAATATATTCACTTATTTAGACATTTAGACACAGATAGGTTTGTAGTTTTAATTTTATATGCTGCATTTCACTCACCAGAAAAACAATCCATAACTATGCGTAGCCATGTGCATGCTGCGTATACATTTGGTAAAGAATCATTTTACCTGCGCACTGCAAAGCGGTAGCTATAAGTCATCGTGCTACCCACACATATTTCGTTGTGAGTGTCGTCATGTGCAACAGCCACCGCCATAACTCCCACCAATGATTTGTGTCGCTGGCGCAGTGTCCGCTTTATATGCATCTTTCACGTCCTTGTACCGCTGGCGTTGGCAGGCAGGGATCGTGTTGAAATGATGTTGGAAAATAGAGGAAGCTCCTACAACGTAGCAAGCGATATTTTCGCGGGAATTTAAGAAGAAAAATTGCGAATCTGAGCTATTCATAAGACTTCGTATCGAAACTAAAAGCTGCTTCTGAGAAAGAAGGACGAATCCCCTCTGTAGAATATAAGTCTGGCGAACGGTAGGAAGTTTTCGCGAGACACTTCTTGCCTGTATACCAAATTTGTTAGAGATAATCTTAAGAAGCCAGCCTTTTATATTAATGCGGAGTTTAAAACCCGGCTACAATACCTAGTTGGTAAGGATAGGTACAGTTCGGCAACAGCTGCACCAATCTAAAGGCCACGGAATGCTGGAAAAATAAAATCACATCAAAGCTTCCAAAAGTGAATGGCGTAGGCGTTTAGAGAGGTTGAGGGAGTGCTTATTTATCCTCCCAATTCTCTATTTACTTCATTTCGGGATAGGGGTCGCGAGTGTAAGCTAGGAGGGGCCAGATAACCCTACGAGTAGGTACCAACAATTTGACGTCTCTCAAAGTCCTGCCATTTTTACGAACTTAGTACTACTTTTCAAAATACCTGCTAACGCATTGAGTTACAAGAAGACAGACAACACAAATCTTCCTAGTATGTCAAGGCTTGATGTTAAGATGTTGGATCTTAATGGCAGGATGTAGACTTTTTCCAGCGCTTCGCTCAACCGCTGTACATCGCGTGAAGGGTAATGTACACGTCATTGAGACCCTTTCTATATTGGCTACTCACTCTGATAGATAGCTTTAAAATCTATTGGTGTTTAACAAAATCTATTAGTGATTAACAAAATCTATTAGTGTTTAACAAAATCTATTGGTGTTTAACAAAATCTATTGGTGTTTAACAAAACAATTGCTTTAGTCTCCGCCTGAGTCGGCAGTGGCAGGCGTCTGCCCTGGCCACCTTCACACCAACCGCACACTCGGGTTGGCAGTCAGTGTGGTATTGGACGCTGGTGGGCAGGGCGGGCAACCTCCGTGTCGTGAACGTTATGGTGACCGCCGCGATCACGATGTTCGGTGTGAGATGAAGTGTCGCGCCTTTATCTGGTGTCTTGATACAGTGATAATCTTGGTGATGTTTGAGCTTTGATACAATGTTAAGCTCGCTGATGTTTGATCTCTTGATACAATTATGATTTCCGCAGTTTGATCCCTCGCTGCATTGCTAACCTCGCAGTTTGATCCCTCGCTGCATTGCTAACCTCGCAGTTTGATCTCTCGCTGCAGGGCTTATATCACAGTTTTAATGTGTATATATTGCTGAAGCTGTGCACGAATTGTATAATTGGAATATTTAGAAATAATTCGGTGCCACTTGTAGCCTATTCAGTGGTTTCGTGCTTGATTTATTCGGTTCTGTATTAATCCTCTTTAGTTGTAAATGATTGTGATTTGAAGTAAATGTGACTGAATTTTTTGTGTGCTGATGTGGCTTTTGTAGCGCGCCGTGCATTGATGGGATCGAACATTACGCTGAAAGTGAACATCAATAAAATGGATCATTTAAAATGAACGGTTAGATTGTACTGTGCACGGTATTTGCCACGGTTTAGCGTTAAGTATCTCTGACAACGTCCATCTTTTGAGATTTCACGTTTGGTGATTTTCAGTTCCACTTGAAGTAGGTAGTTCGTAAGTGCGAGCTGGAGTGTTCATAGTTAGCAGTGGATTGTTTATAATTATCAAGTGATGACTTTCGAGCTGTGAAGCTATTGAGGCTGGTCTTGCGTTGCTCTTAAGTTGAAGAATACAACGCTCCGACTCTCGTTGAGTGACGGTCTGCAGTGATCACTCTGGCCAGTCTTTAGTGATGACTCAGGGTCAGTCTTCACGCAGTCTGTAGTGACTCTGACCTGACCCCCCACACAGTCCAGGCACCATGTGCCTGTCGCCCGACGATGCAGGCAGCACCACCGCCCCCACGAGGGTGAGTGTCGTCCACGCTTACCGCCTCTCATGACCTATGCTCACTCCGATAGAGCCTACCATACCCCTGGTGTCTTGTTAAATGTTAACCCTTACCTACGCGAGGCACGCTTACCGCCTCTCATAACTTATGCTCACACCAATATAGCTCCTCTACGCCTTGTGTCTTGTTAAATGTTAACCCTCACGTTAGGCACGCTTACCGCATCTGACCTATGCTCACACCAATATAGAGCCTACCCCTACGCCTGGTGTCTTGAGTTACTACCCCTTAACTACGTACTTCCAAATTTGATGGTTTTTCTCTCCGACGTGGACGAGTCTGGTTGACGGTTATCCCCAGACTGACTAAACGATAACGCCATGATTCTAAATTATGCCGAATTTTTATTAAATTTGCCCTATTCTTGTTCTTAACTACAAGTAATCTCTTGCGTTCTTCTGAAGCCCTCGACATGCTCATCAATGTTAATATAATGAACATTATCAATATCGACTCCCTCAACAATGTCTATCAATTAAGTACGTAGCACTCGTTCAACTATGTCCTAGATCCGCGTCGAGTTCTTCTTAAAAGTTCACTAAAAATCGCCTAGCTATGAAGGTATTTTCAGACTGAGTGCTCAGCGCTCAGTCACCCGGTATTTACCACGGGAGTTTTTCGAACTAAACACTCGGCGACCGAATGTTTAGGAACTGGCGCTAGTTCATGCTTACGAATCATTACAATTTCTTATATTGAATTCATATAGCGAGCCAAATATCCATGTCCTGTATTTTATATAGTGTTGTTGAAGCTAATGACGAGTCAAGTTAAGATTTAAGGTGGAGGTCGTGACTAAGAAGTGGGGCGTCATTTTGGCAGCGCTCCATGCGCAGGTCTCGTCTACATTTGGCAGGGCTTTGGTGGCGTGCATTTGGGGGCGCATGCAGGGCTCACCCTGTGTCGTGTGTGCAGACTTGATCTTTTTGCCTGATTAAACCTTAATCCTTTCTAGGGTAAATGATGCTTTATGATAACTTGAAATATTCTTCAGGTCCCTTTGTTTGAGGCTACGATATTGTGCCTCAACACCTTGACAATCATCTGCTACCTGATGCACGAAGCCTTGATGCTGTTACCTGATGCACGAAGCCTTGATGTTGTTACCTGATGCAAGAAGCCTTGATGTTGTTACCTGATGCACGAAGCCTTGCTGTTACCTGATGCAAGAAGCCTTGATGTTGTTACCTGATGCACGAAGCCTTGATGTTACCTGATGCACGAAGCCTTGATGTTGTTACCTGATGCACAAAGAAATAATGTTAACTGATATCAAGAGACATTTATTCAGTTAATTCCGAGTCACTATACACAAGTCGTCTCACTTGCTGGTAGTTCGCCTCACGTGGACGTGGCGCGTGTAAACAAGTGACTTGGTCGACCCGAGTTTAGGCGAGCGGTGCGTTGCATGCCCAACACCGCGGGAAGAGTGGCATCATCCTCTAAACTTCCTTCTTCTGCACCGACAATATGATTACTCCTGCGAAGCCGCTTTCTTTTGCACATGTATGCCTAGGTTGGAAAGTGTTCAAACTTTTTATTATAAGTTACGCGATAGGAAAATGTAAAGGTTCAACAATCAACACCTATCTTTTCTGCGATTCTCAGGTCTGACTACTGAAAGTCAGCCACCTGCGGTAATTGATATTGTTTAATTCAATTTAGGTGTGATCTAACAACTACCTAAGTAACATGTCTTCCGGAGGGTTAGAGTTTAAGCAAAGGCTCCTAAAATATTGCTGAGGGTTATGAAGACACTTTGAACTCCATTATTATTCAAGTAAAGTTTACATTTGACCACAAGTTATACGGTATGCAATGGAGATTTACAATAACACGAACTGTAGAGCCGCAGTGTCTGTTACCGCAGACCATCCCAGCTCGACTCACTTATCCCGCGAGCTAAAGACTTTACCACCGATGATCATCATGGAGCTGCTGCTCCCACTATAAATCAGAGTTTACTTTGTAAATAATCCTTTCGCATTTAGCTAATCGAGCGTTTGAATTTAATTCTCTGTGCAAATTCTCTGACGCTCAAATATGTGCCTTTGTGGAAAGTTCTAGCGTTAAAATGCTTAAGTCGATTGAGATAAGGTAGAAATGGAAATGCGCTGTCTGCATGGTCTATTACGGAGACTTCTAAATCTGACCAAAACTGCTGCACCATTCGAAAAGAGGAGCATGTGGCACTGTCACAAGAAGGAAAGAGAGCGTCATTGTCCGCATCAAGATGCCCACTTGTTACAACCTAAAGATGTGGACTCATTGAAATTGACTAAATCGCTACTAAGAGCTACCAAAATGAAAAGTAAATTACAAGTTACGTGTTGACGTTCTTGTGAACGAGTCGCGTGAAGTTTTTGTTCCGTCATTGTAGGTATTATTTAATGTGTTTCTATATGGTTGGCTCACCCATTATGCAGACTTGGCCATTTATTATCATCCAACTTTCAGTTCCGTGCTTACTATTCCACTATCATTCATCACCGTAGCCCCAAAGCGTGGTTCGAGCGTAGCTTTTCCTTTTGGTTTAACCAAGCCTCCGGTAATTTTACTATTCGTTTCCTGCAAGTAGTAGTTTTCTGGGCAGAAATCTGCACGAACGAGTTTCATTTCAGGTGGAAGTCGTTACTTGCTTGCTCAAGTAATTAAATTTTGTTATTATTGAAGCATTTGTAAAATGTTACTGGTCTCCTATATTGTGGGTCTTTACCACCAGATTACCGACAAGTCTACTGAAAGCGAAGCTTGGCAGCTAGAGTTTGATTTTCAAAGTCTTCGTCTTCTTTGAGAACTTTTCTAATGTCGTGTAAGTCGAGCCTTTGTAGTCTAAGTGCCATGTTATCAAGATATTCTTTATGGAACTAAGAACTTTTTTATTTTTACAGGGCACGACGGAGGGTAGCGAAGAGGGCACCAGCAGCACCAGCTCCTCGTCCACTTCCTCCACTAAGACCTCCTCCTCTAGGAGCAGCTCCACAGCGCCCGTGCTGAAGCTCAAAGGCTCCATCACCAACTCGATCGCTTCAAAGTTTGGTGGCACGGCCCCGGCACCCGCGCTCAACCGATCACTGCCTCGTAGAGAGTCCGTGGGCTCGGTCAACCTCAAGAAGTTCGAAACTAACGCAAGTTCAACTGGGGTCGAGTTTACCGCCATCAAGTTGAAGAAAGTTTCGAAGATTTCTTCTACGTCCACGCAAGAAGACAGGACAAAAGTTGGTGTAGGAAGAACCGTGGCTGTGAGTGTGGAAGATTCTTTTGACGTCAAGAAGACCGTTGAATCGTCTACTGGAGGAGGAAGGGAAGTAAAAATTAATGTGACTTCAATCTCAAATAATGACAAAAAGGATGATACTCGGCGTCTAGAAGTGATTGGCAAAAAAATACAAGCCACTCCTGATGTTGACAGGCTATCTCAAGTCAGGATTATCCCCGTAGACAAGGATGTCGATTGCGAATTAAAATCTACAAAACTTGGTCAAACATTAGAAGAAAAACCGGACGCAATCGGCGCAAAATCAAAGCTGCTAGGCACGCCGTCCAAATTGAAGCGAGAAGTTGAGGCGTCCGGAAATCTTCCCTGTTTGAAATTATCTGGTAAGCCGGCCGCAGGCGATTCAGTTAGTTCTGTTAGTACCGCAACTTTAAGCTCGTCTAGTACATCGTCGAGGACGAGCTCTTCAGAGATAAATGTATTCACGTCAAGTAATTCGCTGTGTCGATCTGCTACGATCAAAAGCACCGAGCTACCGACGATAGCCTCGCAAGCCACGGCCGGGAAAGAAACAAATCTTGGAACTGCGGTGAAGAAACCCAAGAAATTGTTGGATGGAGCAGTAAAGAAAAAGAAAATAAAACCCAAGGGGGAAGTAATTGATGTTCCTATCATATTAGAAAGTGCTGCAGAATCACCTGATACAACACAACCTCACTTGATCTGTAATGAACAAAGTTCACCTAACAGTTCTGGCCTGAATAAAACTGAAGTAAAAATAGAAAATTCTTCTATTAAGAATGGCAAGCAAGATGTAATGAGCGATGATAACGTACCAGTAACTAAAGCCAGCGACCCGCAAGGCAGTATGGAAGAAAGTGCGGTAAAGGACTGTACAGAGGCAACGATGCGGACACCTCTCGCTACCCCTGAGGGAGGCGAGGGCGAGCCTCTACAGCAAACTATACCTGGTGTTGTAGCTTTCCCCAAGACTCCTCCAACAGCAGAAGGTTCAGCTAAACAAACAACGTCGCCGTCAGTCAGTATTTCTTTCGATGATATGTATGATAAAAACGTGCCGGAAAGCATGTCGTCGACACAATTTTCTGTTTCGCCTTCTGCCTCGGTCAGTAACTTGTCCACGACATCGCCGTCGGGTTGTAGTGTTCCTACCGCCTCATCGTCACCCATCTGTAGCTTGTCAACAACATCATCTTCTTCTTCTCCTTCAATATGTAGCCTGTCCTCAGTGTCCTGTACAACTGAAACACTATCGACATCCATATCACCATCAGCATCAGATTTGTCCGCATCTCCACCTCCAACCTGTATAGCTCTGCCTTTAAATTCTACCTTGAACAGTTCGTGTGCCACCACACCACCAGCGTCAACTTCAGCTGTACCATCGACAAGCAGAGGCACCTCCAGCGACCCAGTGATCCTCATAGTACGGGACATGAGCTCCGTGGCCACAAACATTAATAGGACTACCATGAAGGCTCCAGCTTCTTCGACAATCGGTGCGCTTTTTGCTGAAATTGGGCACAAGTTCGGTTACGAATCTGACTCCTTCTCTCTGTCACTCCAGAGCTCAACAGTAACCGATCCAGTGAGTGGCTTGTTTCATCAACATTCTAAGCATCGTCTTTCTATTATAACCTGTGCCTACCTAAACTACAAGTTGAAAGACTTGTGTTGTGCTGCGGTTGAAAGACTTGTGTTGTGCTGCGGTTGAAAGACTTGTGTTGTGCTGCAGCTGAAAGACTTGTGTTGTGCTGCAGTTAAAGACTTGTGTTGTGCTGCAGTTAAAGACTTGTGTTGTGCTGCAGTTAAAGACTTGTGTTGTGCTGCAGTTAAAGACTTGTAATGCACTGCAGTTGGAGCGGCTGGACCCATGGCTGACGCTGGAGGAGGCAGGGTTCCTGGTGGACGGGGTGTCACGCAACAGTCTCCTGCTCATGGACCTGCGTCACGGCCACCCTAAGAGGACTGATGCGGCCGGTGAGCGATACCTCGGCCTCTCTTCTAAGTCACACTTTTCGTAACTACTCTTCTTTAGAATTCTTAAGTAATTTGAACTTTTTGAAACTCATGATTTTTTTAAATAATGTCAACTCTTTGCTGCTCTTTTAATTTTTTCGTAAGTTTCTTTATTATCTTATAATCAGTATTATTGTTTCACTCAATATTGTTGTAGAGAATTTGTTACTTTGTTTTATTTTTCTTAAAGTAGAGTTCGTTTCATTTCCTTTTTAGCAATTTCATCACTCAACATCTTTTTGGCACTCTCGTTTAGCGAATAGATCATGAAATGAAGAAGCTTCCACCAGCATGTCCTGCTAGGCATAAACTTGTTTGTTGTGAAGGCACGTCAAGTCGGGACGATGAGCTCGCCCTGGGTGCGTCAGCGTCTCCGTCGTCGTGCGGGGGCGATGACAGCGGCGTGTACAGCAGCAGCAGCGGCAGCACGCGCTCCAAGAAGCGCTTAGAAGACCCTGAAGTCACGCATGAGTACACGAGCTACAGCAGCAGCAGTTCGCTGTCTTCCAAGCATGACACAGGATACGTGGGCCTCGTGAACCAAGCCATGACTTGTTACCTCAACAGCCTCCTGCAGACGCTCTTCATGACTCCCGAGTTCAGAAATGCTCTTTATCGATGGGAGTTCAAAGGCACCAAAGAAGAAGGGGCCAAGAGTATCCCCTATCAATTGCAAAAGCTTTTCCTGCTTCTTCAAACTGCTGATAGGAGTGCAGTAGAAACTACTAGTCTAACTAAAAGTTTCGGCTGGGACAGCAGTGAGGCATGGCAGCAGCATGATATTCAGGAGTTATGTCGTGTCATGTTTGAAGCTCTGGAACAGTCATTTGCGAACACAGATCAAGCTAATCTTATCGACACTCTGTACCAAGGCAAAATGAAAGACTACGTAAAGTGCCTTCGATGTGGTACTGAGAATGCCAGGGTGGACTCTTTCCTGGACATTCCTTTACCCATCCGACCTTTTGGGTCGTCCGCTGCATATCAGTCTTTAGAAGAAGCGCTTCGAGCGTTCGTCGCTCCTGAACTGCTTACTGGCAATAATCAATATCAGTGTTCTAGGTGCAATGAAATGTGCGACGCTCACAAGGGCTTGAAGTTCACCAAGTATCCATACCTTCTTACTATACATCTTAAGCGTTTTGATTTTGACTATCAAACTTTCCTCCGTATAAAACTTAACGATCGTGTCACATTTCCGAATGTTCTAGACTTAAGCGAGTTCTTGGACGAAAATGCGCTTGTCAATACAAAATGTAGTAACAAAAGTGACTCAGCCGTAAGTGCCTTAGATGACTCTGCCACAGACGACTCTGGGTCTGCGTTAGACATGGAAGAAAGTTCCGTAGACCTGGCACATTCTCATAACTGTGAGGATGATGAAGGCATTGAAGTATTTGCCTCTGATACAGAAAAGAACCTCAGCAATGAAATGCATAAAAACAGCTCAGGCAAATGTTATTCTAACGGAGACCCAAATAGTGCAATTAATGGCCCGAGAAGTGCGGTCAATGGAACTAACAGTGCAGTGAACGAGTCTAGTAAGGTAGTGAACGGGTCCTCAAGTGCAATAAACGGGTCTATTAGTGCATTAAACGGACCCTGTACCGTAACACAGAGTGGTAGTGACAAAGCAAGCAGTGAGGCGTCATGTAAGAATGATGTCAACACTGATTATCAATTATTTTCCATAATGATCCACTCTGGTAGTGCTTCAGGAGGTCACTATTACGCGTACATCAAAGATTTTTTGACTGGTGACTGGTTTTGCTTTAACGATCAAAGTGTCACTCGTATCGGGGACGAGGAGATCAAGAGAACATATGGCGGGGGCGGCAGGACCGGTGGCAGCTACGGTGCCAGCGCCAACGCCTACATGCTCATGTACCGACAGTGCAACGAGGACCGCAACCTCATGCCCTTTACCAAGGATAATTTCCCTGCCCACATTCAGAAGCTCTGTGAAAATTTAATGATTGAAGAAGAGCTCGAGAAAGAGCTGCGGGAAAGAGAAAAGTCTACTTGTGTCATCAGGCTGTTTTGTCATCATCCCGCCGCCGCTCAACTCACTGGCATTAAACTTCATGTAAATAAAAACTCGACTCTAGCTGAAGCAACTGAACTTGCACATGAGCAGCTTGGTCTACAGAAACACGTTCCTCTGGAGCGTTGCAGGCTTGTTAAATATGAGGAATATCATGACTCTATAGAGAGTTCGTTCGAGGGGCAGGAGGATAAGCCTTTCAGTGAAATCGTGGGTGGTGTCAAATCCTCTTACAAGTTCGATCTTCTCTTGGAAGTGCGCGATGAGCACCAGCAGTTTGAAGCGTACCAGCCTGGCAGTGTCAGTTTCAAAGTTTTTGTTGTTAGTCTCGACGGTCAGGGAGAAGTTGAAGGGCCTTTCATCACTCGGGGCCTTCTCTCAATGACGGTGGCTGAGCTCAAGAAAGCCATTGCTTCCACCCTGAACCTCAAGAGCGAGACAATGCGCATCGCATCTGAAGGATTTTATGAGGAAATGAAGTTCCTTTCTGATGACGCAGCACTCCTCCGTACCGAGGGCTTCTATAAATCTAATAAAGTGAGTACACACGCCTTGTATGTTGTATTCTTGTTGAATTTATTACTTCGAAGTCTCCACATGGAAACTTCCTTTTTACTTTTTCTTGATAAAACTTTTTAAAATTACCGCTGAACTAGGAAGATGATAAAGCTTTTGAACATTTGAAGCGATCTCGCTGCATGTCATCTTGCAGCTTAGCATGTTATACTCGTGATCAATTAGGCTTCTGGGAACGCTTTAAGTACCGTATATTGAATAATTAATTCCCAGTAATTCTTGAGCTCATCTATGTCTTCGAAGCGATTTCTTTGTCTTTTACAGTGACCAAAATTATTGGAGCCGTAACTCGTCTGGCATAACGTAATATTAGCTTGTGTTATTTCGCAGCTGTTCGTTGAAGCCTCGGGAGAAGAGAGCACAAACTTTTATATGGGCTCGCAAATGGCAAGCATTATTGAGAGGTACCACAACACCATCACTCTGTACTGCACACTGCCTGTAGTGACGCCAGGTGAGTTATTTACAGGTACCACAACACCATCACTCTGTACTGCACACTGCCTGTAGTGACACCTGGTGAGTTATTTACAGGTACCACCACACCATCACTCTGTACTGTGCACACTGCCATGTGTCGTGTGGTGTGCGACGCCAGTACACCAAACGTTCTATGAACTCTTCTGAAATGCTCTATGTAAACATGGGTCGGTTCTATAATGTGATTGTGTTATAGTGATTAATTGAATTTTAAATTATGTTGAAATTACGATCCAGTGTTTTAATGAATGTTTTATTTGCAGACATTTTAGCAGAGCTGAATATCCCGCCTTTTGTGGAGGATAAATCTACTAGTACTTGCGAGACGAGCTTCGCGGTGCAGGTTTGTGCCAATGGTGTCATACTTTTAAGTTTTTAGAATGTATGAAGTTTTAACCACAATATTCATAATCTTCTATTATCATTTGTCCTAGCAAGCTACAACTTCACCTACTTCCCGGGATAAACACAGAATATTTTTAGAGTTTTTTCGTTCTTCACTCATTAATTTTAATTGCCTTTATTTTCTCCTTGTGTGTCAAATAAGTATTCGTGAAAGCAAAATTTTTCACAATTTTAAATTTATTTTGCTTGTTTATTTTTTTCAGTTGAAATTTTTGTTATTTTTATTTATTTTCCCTGATTGCAGGCGCAAGAGCCTGAAGCTTCTGAGCCTCAAATGGAATCCCTTGATGCGGTTGGTAACGCATCACGTTCATCTGGTAAAGTCATTTCCGACACACCTCCTTGTTCTTTTGAATCTGTTTCATTACCCAGACCTGAGTCTGCTGTTAACTCATTTAATTGGTCCCATTTTAGGAATATTACTAGTTCTTTTTCCAATTTAGTCATCTCTGGCACTTCTGCGTTGATGGCTCATTCTGCATCAAATTTACTTATAAATTATTCACAATCTACTTCGAATTCTGCAAACTTGTCTACCCAACCTGACGCATCCAGCGCAACGTCGCGACCCAAGAGCTGCCCAGTCACAACAAGCACTTCACTCTCGACAACGCCAGTCTGTCCTTCACTCGACGATTATATATCAGCCGACGGCCAATTACTCACCGAACCTACAGAGCCTCTTGGGCAAACTCAGCCATTCTGTACTTCTATTTCTCCTGGCCTTACCTCAGCACCTAATGCAGATCAGGGTTCTACGAATACGTTGTCACTTATTTCTGCTGAACACTCAACGGCGGTCGCGGATGCGCTTTCATCATCTGCAGAAAGTGTTTCGGTTTATTCAGCCATGTCTCCTCTGGCACGGGTTCATCCTTCTTCGCTTGCCTCCTTTCCGTCTCCCTCACCGTATGAGGATAAAACAAACACATTTGTTAACTCTTCAGAAAAAGACAACCATTGCAGTTCAGCAGCTGTCAGTGTGCCAGGAGGCGCCAAAATGATGTCCCTCGATGTCGGCCCAAGACTCGCTATCGCCTCCAATGTAATCATCATCATACGCTGTGTTCTGTCATATCATGCAAGCGCTTTTGAGTTGGGCGTATTTTTTATGCAGACTTGTTTACTCGATTTTAAAGCTTGGTTGGCTTCGGCTGTATTATTTTTCTAAAGTGTAAAACTAGGCAGCCAGTACAGTATAAGCGACTGTTGGTAAAGCTGATACTGTGGATGTAGTCAGTGGAAAGGAAATATCGCTCATGAGTCTGTCCTGCTAAGGAATGCATATCTTCTTGCAGTTCATGGATATTTCTGTAGTATTGTTGACCTGTGTTGTCATCACAGTTGTGTGAGACATTTCCACTTGAAATTCTTCAAACATGATATTTCGGATGTGTCTGTGGCTCTCGAATGGCATATTAAACTTTTTGCATCGCTGAAACCTGTACGACTTGAAGTTTTCTTGTAACCCTGTTTAAATTTCTCCAAGTTGAATGTATTGTTGTCGGTTTAGGCTTCGTGCACGTCGTTGACGGACGTGCCCTCAGCACCTGCAGCTGCCGAGGTGTGTGCGGCGGTGAGCAACTTGAGCGACGACGAAGACGGCGCCGACGTCTGCGGTGGCCCTCACTCTGCCCTCAGCAGCGACCAGAGCACCAGCGAGGACTCCTCTCTGACCAGCGACTCTGACCGGTGAATGCTATATGAGTGACCATGGTCATTTGCTTGCTCGATTATCCGCAATAATATAATTGTTTATTTTTCATGTGGCTTTCCAAATAACGTAAAAAGAGTATATAGCGTATCTGCTATCTATGCAGGGCAATGACCTATTCTATATTTTCTGTTGCGAATATAATATTGATAAGCAAAATGTATAGGCGCTAATACACTTGAATTCTAGGATGTCGCCTCGCTATCGTCAACATTACATGCTTGACCGGTAGCTACTAGTCAGCCACCAAGCAATTTCTCATTGGTTGCTTATTGTATCCCAGGACGTTGGTTGGAGACCCGCCGGACGACGAGCGTCTGTCAGAAGGCGGCCACTCGCCGGACTACCATAACGTTTCTTCTCCTGAAGAGAATAATGGCTCTACCAAGGTGAGTGTTGGGCCGTATATACTGAAATAATACATGGTACTACACGTCCTGTGCTGGATCAATACATTCAGCGCACGAAACAAGTCTACTTGTTTACATCGAACCATATGTTATGTTTTGGTGAGAACTAACAGTGCACAATGAACTAGTGTTTTATGAGCTAACTCTGAGAAAAAAAAAAAATAATATACGTAAAAACTCGTGAATATGATTCATAAAAAAATGTTGCATAATGGTATTATCACTTTAAAAACGTACAAGCTGCAGAGCAGACTTGTAGCTTAATTAAGACAATATAACAGCCGCTTATTTTTTAACGTCACTCGTTTGCTTGAATCGCAAATGCAATAGAAATTTGCAAGCAAAGAAAATTCCACGAAAATTTAGCTGTCTTTGTAGAAAGCGTTGTGAAGTCCAGCTCCATCGTCTATTTGAAAATTATACAATTAGTAGTTAGTACAGTCGAAATTTAAAGAACACCGAAGTTAAAACCTAAATCCATAAAGAAGACAAAGCAATGAGAAAAAGGCAAAACCTATCTATTCACAATTTCCTAAAGAAGAAAGCTAAAGGCTGCATTCAAATTAGGCCTCTGTTTAGAAATATGCAAGTATTCAAAAATAACCGAACTGGAAGGCCTCGGAAATGGTAGCTAAAACCTCGAAGTTCCTGTCAGTTATAAGATCTTCTCATAATCTGCTCGGTGTGAGTGCGTACAACCGATAGCAACTGTCCAGTCCTACAACTCTTGCCCGTATGCTCTGTGACCTTAGAATAAAGATTGCGTGACGTCATCCCAACGTACGCAGATGAGCATCGTTCACAACTATATTTATAAACTAAAGATGATTGCTTCTGAGTAGGCAGAATATCTTTGTACCTAAAAAAGATCCGATTTTAAAATAGTTCAATAAAACATGAAGACTAACATTTGGGAAGTACTCTTTTCTTCGGATTCATGGCCGAACTGCCGAAGTATGTAAATAACAATAACTGTGTTCCTACTGTAGCGCTCGTGAACAATCTCTCTGTGTCGCTTGGAAATTAATTTCTTCATTTATGTAAATACCACATTCGTCGGAAATCCATTATGCGAGAATAAATCGAGCAAAAATTCAGCATCAGTGCGCATATTATGCTATGTGTTTTTGAAGACCATTAACCCTAAATCTAAATGAACACGAGCTAAAAAAGCTGATAATACTCGATGGAATAGTTTTTGAAGCCCATTAACCCTAAATCTAAATGACCACGAGCTAAAAAGCTGATACACCGGTTAAAGAGGATTTCCGGAACACAGAAATCTGAAAACAGCTATTAGATTAAGTCACATTGTAATTAAGGAAGAACAAACAATTGTTAGAATCAAGCTCTATTGGAAATTTGATAGAATCATGTTGCAAGTTTACGTAATCAATAAAAAATTTGACAATTACGGAAAAATTTGACAAGAGTGATGCTTCAGTATTACAGAGGCCTAACTAAAATACAGCTTTTGGCTCTTATCCATTTCAAATTGTGAATAGATAGGTTTTGCCATTTTTCTTGGTATTATTTATGGATTTGGGTTTTAACTTTTGTGTCATTTAAATTTCGACTGTTGTATCGGTGTTCTAAAATTTTCGAACTAACGATGGAGTTGGACTCTGCAACGTTTTATATGCAGATATCATAAATTTTGTGGAACTTCCTTCTCTTGTTTTTTTAATTAGTAAATGTTTTGCCGAAAATTTGTTGATTTAATTTATTATGCCGCAGTCTGGAAGGGCCAATAATAATTAAAAACGTAAACTATTGTACTGACGAAAGTTACTTACTTACTCCCTCCCAAAATGTCACTGGTGATGTTAGGAGGAAAGCAAGTGAATGAATACGATTGTTTGTGTTGGGCAGGACGCTAGTACGTGGTCAGGGGGAGCGAGCTGCTGGGCGTCTGAGGAGACGGCAGCGGGACGAGGCTGGTGGCAGGACGAAGACGCTGTCATCAAGCGATACTTCAAGGCCGAGTTCTTGCCTGACGAGAACGACCAGAAAGGTAGAATTATTTCGTCATGTTTAAACGGTGTTCATGTGGTATTTACTACACTTGCCCTAATTTAACCTAACCATTTTTAACCCTTGCAAGACGGCAATATTTTGAACGGTACAATGGTACCGCGCGCAGATACAATTGCTGGCCCTTGTTAAATTAATTATGCAAGCCGACAATGATTCAGTAAGTGAATAGAGTAAGCCTAACAAAATTTATGAGAAGGTTGTGCGAGCAAGAGAGTAACATTAAAAATCATTGAATTATTTGAAACCCTGACACGATTGCCCACAGGCACCCAAAGAGAAGATGTATTCTCCAATAGGCTTCTCTTAACAACTGGTCTTATTGTCTAATTTCTCCGTTCATCCCTGACGTGTAAAAACTGATTGCAGTCTTAGTTTTTGCTATCCTCTGTTAATCTAAAAAAGTATTCTGGACGGTTATTCAATTATTGAGAAAGTTATGGTGTATTTCACGTGTTTTTTTCAGTGTTGCAGATCAGGGTTGATAAGCGAATGACGGTTGACCAGCTGAAGCTCGAGCTGCAGCCGTACGTCGGTGTTGGGGTCCAGCACTTCAAGCTCTACAAGAAATTCATGTGAGTTTGGGCTTCAGTGAATCAATGAACTGCAGAAATGAGAGTTTAAAAATGAAATTTTTATTGGAATTAATTGAGAAATGTTTACGTGTAAGAGTTGTATTGTAAAATGGGAACTGCTTAAAATAGAACTTGGAGATTTTTACTACGCCCAACTGTGATGTCTGCCTCGGTTATTTTAGAACGCAGTTTCTATTTCTGCAGCTCACACCCAATAAAATTATTTTCCATTTATCTAAAGAAATTTTTGCTACAAGTCTAAACCCTAGTTCGTTGCCAAAAATTTTTGTTGTTACTTTATTTGGAACAGGTTTCACATCATAGAATATTTTGTAGTTGCGTGTTTGAGAGCATATTTTCAAAATATTGTCTAGGAAATTAATGGATGGTTTGAAGTTATTTGAGTTTTAATTTGTTTCAGCCAAGAGTTTGAGTGCAACAGAGGAGGCGAGCAGCTTAACTTCGGCGACTGTTGCAAACTCGGGGTCAAGTTGGACCGCGCGTTGCAGGTCGGCGAGTTCCGTGGAAAAGTTTACCTTCTGGACCTCACGAACAACGAAGAGGTTCGTGCTTCATGTAAAACTTACCAATGACGGTTTGTTGTATTGTCGAGCAGCTCGCTCATGTACATTCATACGTTATCGCCGGTCATTTCTACAATTTCCTTTGTATCCCGTGTTGAATATGTTGCGTCGTAAGCGCATTCCAGGCACTGGCAGGACAATCACTTCTAAAAGATTGAGTTTGATTGCATTTTCACGTATAGCCAGCCTTCTGGTGATTATTTCGTCCTGCTTGGTTTTCTATTACTTTATTTTATTCCATGTACAGCCGGCCAAGTTTTTAATAGAATTCGTAATGCGAGAGAACGACACGGTGAGCCAGGCGAAAGCTGCCATCCTAGCCGAGGTGAAGGCGCGACTTGGTCTCGAGTTGAAGTTCGAGGACGTGAGACTGCGGCGCAAGAGCTGGAAAAATCCTCAGAGTGTGTACCTCGACCATCAAGTGTTCAGTGCACGCGACATCGCTCTTCATAGTAATTGGGAATTATATCTACAGGCGAGTACACAGGATATGATTTTGCCAGATGTTCCTTTTCTGCTGATAGGAACCTGAAGTTTTATTATGAGCCGTATGTTTTTTATATCTATGACGTAAATTTCTAATTTCTGTTATGATTGAAATTAATTACTGAGTGATAATATTCTGGCAATCTTTATCAGCAAATCTTCCCCTGAAATTTGTAACTAAAATGTAAGGACGCAGCAGCGACCGCTGATCGCTATAATTACCTTGTACCATCTTTACGTTGATAATCACCGCAATGCGTTTGTCTTAGTATTGAATATTTGTGAAATTGAAGAGTCTGTTCATAGAAGATGGCTAAAGCAGGTCGCTTCCGGGTTATTTTAACTTAGAAACATCAACATAAAATAGAAAGATAGCAGGATAAAGATTTGTTTTCGAAGGTGATGAGGTCCCTGAAGTTCACGAGTATTGTGTTTGAGCAGGAACTGAAAGGCCCTGAGCCGAAGATGTGCGAGGACGACTTGGTTCTGTTCATCCGTCGCTGGCGCCCGTCAGTGTACCAAGTGGACCCCATAGAGGAGATCGTCCTTCCCATTCAGACGGCAGAGGCGCTCAGGGAAACGGTCAGGCTTTAGAGGAAAATCAAATTTAAAATTCCGCAGGAAATTCAGATTTCTATTGACGATTTCTCTATTGTTTGTGAAATTTGCTGATACTCTAAGCCTTAAGATTATACATGATGATGAGGAAAAGCAATTTGTGCATGTGTAAACCGATTAACACGAGTAGAAATGAATAGGAATCGCACGCATTAAAGTCCGTGGATAAGTATATAAAAAGTTGCTACTAATGGAAAATTATGCTAGGTAAATTTTCGTTTAATCGCTTAGTTTGGGTAAATTTTCGCTACATCACTTCGAATGAGTGGCGTCTTGATGTTGCAGCTCGGCAGACTGAGCGGCATCAGCTCCGAGAACGTGGAGTTCGCTCGCGGCACCGGGCCGTTCCCCCACAACTTGTCCGTCTTTGATATTTCGACGAAGCTTTCGTGGGTCTCTGGTAGCGGACCTCTCGAAGACAAGCCTTACAATCTACTATACGACGGCGTCCTTGTCTACTACAGGTATAATATCTCCTTGGGTTCAAGTAATTGCAAGTTTATTGGGCAATTATTATTGAAGTTTGCAGTGCATTTTGATGCATATAAGCAAAATACGCCCACGTTTAAGTTTTTTTGGTTTGTGATTTCTGAGATCCAATTGCACTATAATTCGCTATTTTTAACATCATCGGCAACAACATGTTTTAACATCGGCAACAGGCCATGGGCCTATTTCTTCAACGCCGACACTTCTATTCTATTCTTCTATTCTAATTCATTATCTCTACGTAGAATTTTTTAAACACCTCGTAACTAAAAGTTCTATCGAGGCCATATGCACCATTTCTGTCACGTACATTCCCTCCGCCGCGTTGCTTTATTTTCCACAATGTTTCACGCCCTTTATTTTACTGATGACGCCGTTTATTACTTCAATAATGAACTTGATATTTAGCCGTGGTATTATGGTTGCCTAATTGCAGCTGTGCTTGCGTATGGCTGACGGAAAGAATGTCAATTTGGTTTAATTAGCGACTCTCGTTTTGTGAACAGAGACAAAGACGAGCAACTGGGAGTGTTATCAGATAGCGAAAGAAGCGAAGTTGAGGCTGCAGATAACAAGAGACTAAACAAAGACTCTCCTTACCCGGCGGCAGCCCTGCCTTCCAAGCCTGCCAGGGAGAAAGGCCTTAAGATCTACTTCAAGAATGACTGATGCCGACCCGATCTTGCTTACGTTAAGTGGTTCTTTACCGAGTCGTATAGAGTTCCTGGCTAGACAAATAATGATCTAAAATGAGACTTCTTATCCAAGGCCGCGCAACGCGTTCGAGTCGCGTTGTTTGTCGCCAATAAGTTTCGCTTGACAATATGTGTTTTATGTGTGGTTCTTTATGTTCGGAGAATGAGCACCACATGGTCACGCTCGAACTGAGGTATACAGTACTAACAAAGTGTGCTTGTTCATCATGTTATACGACCGGTGTTGCGTTCTGAGACATCGGCAGCATCAAGCTATAAAAATGTGAAGAGTTACCCTGTCTTCGCTTTTCGGTTGTAGTATTCTATCACTTTCGACGCTTGATGAGATTATTCATAATTAGGATTGTCGCGCAATACGTTACGCGATGGAAGCATTACCATTGCAGCGTTGCCAAGTCTACAGTTGATATATTGATATTTGCTTACAAGTTAATAGCTGATTGAACTCCGCTTTCAATTCACTTCAAAAAGAGAATGAGATGTCAATATTATTTATAGTGCTTTGATGTGTTGTCATTTTTTTTATTAAGATATATGGAAGAACTTCTACTTAATTTCATTAAAGTGGAAATAATCCCATGAAAACTCGCAGGCGTCTCTGTTGCACGTCGATTGTTACGATCTTCATGTTGCTTGTGACATTATTTATTTAAAGTTTCCCTTTGCATCAAAGTTGAACGCCGGCGCTTGATACTGGGCGTGGATTCGAGCTTGAATCGTCGTTTCAGTTAAATCTGTCGTAAGAGGAGTGCTGTGAAGGAAAGTGAATAAGTGTATGTGCTATGAACGTTTCTCTATGTAACTCTGATAAAAACGGAATAAAAATCCTATATAATGGGGTAAGTCATACAGCTGCTAATGTTCACACGTCAATTCGATGAAACATTATCTGCAGGATATCGTCTCTGACAGGATTGCAAACGCTCAAATTTGTACTGGGCGAGACGAGCGATTTTTTTGTGTAAATTTATAAAACCTCTTCTTTTATCATTGCATTCGTATCTTTTCTTTCAAAACCTGGATTCACGTATTCATACTTACTGCAAATTACCAATTTCAACGCTCATGCTACTAGCTACATAACTCGAGTGTCGTAAGGAAATGGGAAAAATAGTTTAATTTCGAGACATTCTTTAAAATACAATGAGAGAAGCTATTACATGGACACAATGACGCCCGAAGCATTCGAATACTTCGCAACCGTACTAATATCCACATAAACGTGTCACATTTGTCCGAACATCCGCTATGTAGCAGTGGCATTACTATCAGAAATCGTAGAAAGTGATGAATTTCCATCCCAAATAAAAAACAGCTATAAATGCACCCTTTAAAACATTAGCTTGACGTACCCGACCTGTATGTCGCTAACTTTCGGCTAATCTTCAAGCAAGTTACGATGTCTCCCGTCAAACTCATTTTGGAAGCCCAACACTAATTTAAGTCCTTGCTCGTGCGCTATCATACATTTAGGTTGGGAAAATGTTTCCGCTGTGTACAACGGGGAAAAAGTAAGCCTCCTGTGCGATAAACCATGAGGCGGTAAACTGCCATGTCAACCGCCCACAACAAACGCCGCTGTACCTGCACACTCGATTAACACAGCATAAATAAGACCATGACTTAAACAATGGTAGCAACACACTCGGGTGCCATAAGCAAAGCTGTACAAGCACAACTAATAGCAGCTATTTACAAGCGATAGCTTAGACTATGTACATTCTTCTTCCTGCTCATGAAATCCCGCAACCGCAGAAATGCCTTTCAATATTTACACGATGAACTTACCATAATCTATCATCATACATAGTCGTCGTAGTTACCAGGAACGCGATAACTTAAGCTTAAGATACGCAAGAGTTCATTCAAGATTCGGGCTACGATGATGCACATATCATGTAAACGAAAATCTTGAAAGTTGAATAAATAAAATTGATGGTTAATTCAACTCAAATTTTGGTCGGAGTTAGAAGTAAATAAAAGCCATTCTTTTAAAAGTAAAAATCTGTGATTACTTTCACAGCGCAATGGATACATACCAAAACACGTTAAACACTTCGATAAATTTTGCTCACTAGATTATTATAAAGAACATGTTAACGTGAAAGTTGAAACTGACGAGGAATTGATATACCTGGTGTACATGCATACATCAAAGCTAATACTGAACTCGGTAATATGAAATATCCTCTTATTTGCACTTACATTTCAAAGATGAATCTTGAAAACTTCTCACCAAAATTCTCTAGCACCAATAAATCGTTTCTGAGTACAGTACAACAAATCAACAAGTGACTACGATGTCGAGTCGATATATTACTTTGTCAGATCGCCAGTAGGACTTAACATAATTTGATTCCAGCCATCTCTCCGATAACAGGTGCACATACTTGTACTGATATTAAAGACGTTTGTAGGCCAAAACATGTGTGGCTAAGACCAAATATTTAACCAAAATATAATTATAACTAAAATCCATGACGAAATTGAATCGTTGCGTGCTTTGAGTTCATTGGTAATAGAAATTTATTTCACGATTTGGGATTTACAAAACCAAGGAATCAACGCAGGAAACGCTTCTTTTCATGCTTTAAAGGATTATGGTCAAAGTGTCATTCATGACCTATTTACCAAACGTTTACTCGGAAGGCAGTACTAGGAAATCAGCTCAGCATTTGTAACGAGGGTTCATGTTTTCAATGCAAAAATAAAAAAATTCATTAAAATCGAAAGTACAAGACTCAATTTTTACGGTAGCAGGTAGCGATCAAGATCAGAAGAAGAGCTAAACTCGAGTTATTATAGGATAAACGCTGGTCAAGACGTTCAAATTATACGAAGCTACGATTAAACACAAACAGTGAGGAGATCTCATAGAATAAAGTGCAATTGAGAAAAGTAACACTTCATGACAGAGAAATAATTTCGGAGAGCCCTTCATTTTCAGTGCTGATTGAACAACGGTTACTGAACGAGTTTAACAATCGGCGTGAAAAATTGTAAGAATAATAGACACTAATATATCGCAGCACTTTGATCTGCTTTCTTTCGAAGACCTATACAGAAGCTAACCGTTTATAACGTTCAGACATTCGACAAGCTGCCGTTACACTTCTAGATTGTTCAGTTAATAGTTCGAAGATCGTTTGTAGGAATGGCGCCGTGCAAGGCTAATCACTAACGAGTGAAACACGTAACTGTTGGGCCTACTGAGAGACGTGCTTCGTACGATCAGTCTGATGAAGGCAGAGGACCAGGTACAGCTGTAGTGCTCTTGGCAACTGGAACGACAATTTGTGCAGCATTGACCATTTGCTGCAACTGCTGTTGTTGCAGCGATAGCGGCAGTTGCAAGAGTCGTCGCCAAGGCCGTCGTGCAGCTCTCCTCAATTCCGTGACGGTCATAGTTCGCCGCTGGGTTCTGCAATAATAAAGTGAATGAACACTAAATTCACACATGACGATTGGTAATATTTTTTAATCAAACAAAATATTGGTCAATGATCACCCTCAGCTAGTGTTTCTGAGTTGCTGTCATGTTTTTTTTTCACATGTCCGTATAAATAGAGTTTAGCAATTGTGTCTGTACCGGTGTATAAAACTAAGATTTTGTGAAGGAGAAATTTAGTTGTAGTGAGTGAATATGGTTGTTAGAATTAATCAAGAGTATGAAGAATTATCTTCGTTTGAAATGTGAGTGTAAAGTCTGCTTCCAAGGCAGTACTAAAGGATCTAAAATGACCATGAAAACGTGAAAATCCTGAGACATCGACTGATAAGATTGATGTAACAGTTCCTTTGAAATATTCTTACTTGATGGCAGAGGTGGAATAAAAATAGACATCGTCTGGGGCGTCCATCCATGAAATGATCCTTGGGCGACCGCTCATGCGAGCAATGGTGGCCATCTTTGTTCGTCCCGCTCCCGCGTGCTGCAGCTGCGACACGACGCGAGGACCTGCAGCAGCCGCAGCGACAGGGACAGCCGGGGTTGTTGTGATATGGGACGAGTGGTAAGGAGGTGGTGGTGTGGTAGTAGTGGAGGGAGGTGTGGTCGCAGGTAGCCGTGTGGAAGTTGACGACAGAGTTGCCGATGACACAAGGGGGGGCGGGGGAGGAGTGCCGCCATTCATGCCGATGGGCGTGACAGTGAGGCCGGGGGGAGGGTTCAGTCCTAGCTGGCTTAACCGGTATGGGTCCAATGGCGGGTCCGAAGATTCCTTGCAACGCTTAGATGGTGGAGCACCTGCACCAAATATACCTTGTATTAATGGTTTAACGTGAAAAAATAGTCTCGCAACGTAACTTGTAAAAGTATTGTCTTGCTATGGCAATACGTATGGCATGTCGTATCACATGCAGATAGAAAACAACCACATCATTCATAAAATAACACAACAGATACGTATAGAAAACAGTGACCTACCGTCAATGCCATTAGTTTCTTGATAGGGCTTGCGCTTGAGCAGCTGCTGGTGAGGAGCGTGAGTCACGTCCTTAGCGTAAGAAACACAATCTGCACACATAATGATACCTGGCATCATTCAACATTGACTCATCTCATCAACACCATTTTTCCCTGCAAATGTTGATACAGTATCTACGAAGAAATTTCTTCGTAATTTATTAGAAGCATTTTTGATAACTTTATTACGAATACAGAGAAATCCGATCAAAGTTTTCTTACACGTAAGGAAATTCATACACAGGATAGGACGAAACTTTTAGGTTATAATCGATTACTCAACCTAAGTTAACAAAAACACTATATCCTATTACAGGACTTGAAGCGCAGGAAATGCTGCAAAATTGTTCTCTTGTTACGTATTCTCATTTTGGAATACCTTTCCACAATAGAATCAGAAGCAAAGTTAAATCACATCCGGAATACCTTGCTGTTAGCAATTGTGAAAATTTCATTGGCGATTACGCACTTTATGGCAACACTATTAGCATTCATCTCATGCTTATTTTCACAAAATTTAGTATGCCGAAACTGACTCCAAAATTCAGAACACACGATTCTAACTTACAGTCTGCTTGTATCTTACCTGCACCGGAAGAGATATTCGTAGAGAAGGCAGTTACCGGCGGAGGTAGTAACGGCTGAGGTCTTCTTTTACTGACAAGAGCCGGCGAGATCACAAGCCAAGGTGGACAGTAAGTGTCAAGCTGGCCAAGCTTAAGCGTCACGTCTTTAAGCGTTGATGACCCAGCTCCTCTGCCCGATGATTTGATTTGATGCAACCACGGAATCAGCGACTCCAAAGTCCGTCCTTCTAAACGCACTAGGCCTGAAAAACAAGAACAAGGCGTAAGGAAGTATTTGAATGCTTGTTGAATGTAACATTGTAAATAAAATTGTATAGAAACCTAATTGGGCAATAAAATTGTGTTATTTGCCGTGGTAGAGAAGCTATATAATTTCTATGAGCAATGAGTCACAGCATCAACACAAACGCTGTAACTCAAACACGGGACAGCGGAGACGAACGCATTGAAAGTGACCAGTGAACAAAAAATGCCTAATATAAGAAACATGGACAACATCACAATAGATAATGTCGGTAATTTGTGATGGTTATGAAAGAAAGTCTCGCTTTAGTGCTCATAAACAATTAAATGTAATACGAAAACTAGACTAATTTTCATGGTTACACAGCAAGAAAATTTGTGCAACAATAGAACATGATCAATTTTCGTGTTTAGAAGTATTAACGATATGTAGGGATAACTGAGCACTCACTTTCATGGCGCACTTGCACAGCGTTGATGGGAGTCGTGGGGTTGCGAGCAGCACGTCGTCTCTTCAGAGCGTCTCTGGCGAGTCGCCGCATCACGCGCAGCGCGGGGCTCGAGTGCAGGTAGAAGGCGTTACGCGTCTTCACGATGGGGCGCATACCAGCCTCTTCTGTAAGAAGAAACTAGTGAAACAGAAGAAACTAGAAGAAATAAAGTAGTAAGAAATAAGGAGTAGGTTTCTGGTTTCTTCTTCTGTAAGAAGAAACTAGGAAACTTGCTAAGAAGTGGCTCGCAACGTAACTACCCTAATGGTGGCAGAAAACATTGTCTGACCTAGCGTATGTTATCTGTGCGTAAATTTAGTCAAGAGTCTTGAATAATTCTAAGGCTGCTTCAAGATTAGGGCAGATCAGGTCGGCATAATGGTCACCTAAATACTAGTGTTAACTTTCAACAATTTCGAACTGTGCGTAAATAGAGAATGATTCACGTATATTGCGTAATTATTGTTCGCGAGCACAAAGAGTTAAATAAGTATAGGTCCTCTGGTACAAATTGAGTGATATTACGTATGGCAGTCATTGTTCGCCCAACTTCTTCAATTAATAGAAAGAGTGAAAGAAATGTCATCTTTCTTGACCCTGATTGTATTATAGAGGGCATGCCTGGAACTGATGGAATACACCTCAATCCTGAGGGGACGGAGGCGCGTGGGCGAAAAGTGAAACAGTGTGTGCAAGGAAATTGTGCGGAATTGGTAGGTATGTATAAGATGACAGAGAATGAGCATGGACGTGATCAGACCTAACAATACGGAAGTGGCGCAAGTGGGAAGATATCAGAGGAAAATAAGGTTTTGGAAAACATGAAGACTTGTGCAACGAGTTGGAAGCGCATCAGATTGATATAGTGGGAATAACTGAAACTCAACTGAGAGAGAATGGATGTCTGAGAAGCGGGAAAGACGAGATGTTTTATAAGGGAAGAAGAAAGCGACAAACAAGGGGCGGGGGAATTGGGAGTAATTGTGCGTATGGAGGCTAGGTATGACGTGGAGGAAATAAGTGCTGGAGAAAGTATTGAGTATGCAACAACTAAAAATGAAAGGATGCAGATGGTGATGATCATATGTTACACGACTGTAGAGAGAGTAAGGTCTGAGCGCGAGAACAAAGAATAGTATGCCCATCATTCCCTTCACTTGAAGAGTTGAGGGTTGAGGGAGGAGAGGTTCGGAAGGCAAAGTTGACCGTGCCGAATGTTTTGGTACATTGTTTCTGTTTTTTTTTTAGGATGGTGACATGTATAATTGAATGTTTTAGTCTATCAAGATTATAGTGAATACTTGTTTTGTTAGTCGAACTTTTTTTAGCTGACGAGTGCGCCATGAGCTTTTATTTACTTTTTTTTGGTTAGTGAAAGATTTTTCATGACTTGTGGATGACCGATCTAAAGGTCTTGACATGAGGTCAGCGAGCACCCCATTTCAAAGCCAACATCGGAGCCATTGCTCTCCAAAAGTATCCGAAATAAGCAACACAACCTAACACTTGGCGGTTAAGGAAGAAAACACATGGACTTCACTTAACTATTGAATATATCATTGTGTTGTAAAATTGCTCGAGAGCTCATGAAAAATACTTGCCTTCTTCTTTGGCGCTGCGAGACGCCTTCTTGAGACCGCCCAACTTCTTCCAGTACAGCCAGCAGTCGCTGCAGAGCTTGCCTGGCTTCTGAACAGGACCCCAGGAGTGCCACTGGCTGCTTGTTGTAGCTGTTAATCATCATAAAGATTAATTATTGTTGTGGAACCAATCCCCCTAGAAAAGGTAGCTTAATTATGCACAGTGTGGTCTATTACAATTGCAAGCGCGCGCGAAATCTAATAAAAAATAAGTTAGGAAATGAGAACGAGTGATGCGTAGTTAGACAAGGTATCCTTTATAAAACTGGTTCTCAATCGTTGTGATGGACACCACTTGACGCTTCGGTGCTGCTGCCATGTACCACCAAGTACAAGTGTATAACAGATACAATCAACATACTAGCCGCAAATATGTACTTTAATTTGCATCGCGCTGAACTTGCTCCTGTGCCCACCCCTACTAATCAGCATTGTTGTTGATGCGGTCTACTCGTGATATTGAATGCTATGTTAATGTATGATTGCATGAATTTTGATAACAGTGGTAGAGATATACTGTTTTGTGTGAGGACAGAAGCACTGAATGTGAATAGTAATACACATGGAGGAATCTGAGAAGAGGTTGAGAGTTGTGTGTGTGATGGGCGAGGGTGACGGTAAGTAATCACCTGGCGGTGGCATGAGGGGCGCACGAGAATGATGCGTTGATGCGAAAATTGGGAATTGTGGTGAAAATCAAGTCTGGATAATTTTTTGGGGAAAATAAATAAATGAAAACTAACCATAAAAAATAGTTATACTTTAGATCTTTTTTAGAGAGCATAGGTATTCATTTTATGTTTTGAATGCGTTTGTCAATTTTTAACCTTTGGATTGAAATTTCACATTCTCTTCAATTTTAATACATCAAGCTACCATATCAAACTCTTATATTGCAGTATTAATATAACTGAACTTCAAAATAAAATTATTTTCTGGCAGATCATCCGAGCATCACACCAAGCACTGAAGGAACATGTCAGTTTTACAACCATTGCTGTACGTTTGCAGTAAAAAGATTATAAAAAATAACTACGAGCAACGTCGTAGTAACCTGCGCACATCGCTGATATTTGATACAGTAAAATATCAGTTGCGGTCACCAAATCTTCCATGATTTGCCTTTATAAGGCATCGACACTTTGATAACGGTACAGCCTCCCCCCACCTGAACATCCTTCACAAGAGAAGCCCAGGGCGCCGCTGCTGCTGCCATTCAACAAAGTCACAGATTTGCAGTTTGTGCTGCCGTTCGAGAGAACCGCCGGGTTCGCCTTATTGCTGTAAAAAATGACTTCATCAACTTATTTCCAATGCAATCATTTGGGCGTTAATGATTACTATAATACAGGTATTACAATTAAAAAAAATTATCTTAATTCCTTGTTTAGTTGCGGGAAGTGTAGACTGAAGAGAACTTAAATTTCAAATGAATAAATTTCAACTTTAGAACAAGAAAAGATCATTCAAATCACTCACTAATTAGGAATGTAGACTTGTTTAAGTTTTGATTCTGCCTCGACAGCTTTAACTCTCTTCTGCTGAACGTATCTGTCAGTTGTTTTCCACATGTAGTAGTATTCAATAATGTTCTTCAGCGTCTTCCAGGGTAACTGTAAGTTAGAAGAAATAATTATATGAACAACATATTGTTTTTTCCAGACACTAAACAACTCACAAAATCTTACTGAATAAAATTTACATTTTTGCACTTCAACAAGATGTAGGTACCACTCACAAAATCCTGTCGAATATCGTTGAAATCTTTGCCGTATTTGTCGAGGGCTTCTTCAAAGAGGTTGGCCTCTGAGGCGGCCCACTCCTCCATCTGGTCTCGGCACAGCAGCGGTCCAGACCCAGGCACCAGGCATGACAGGGCTTTGGCGAGCTCGTAGTCTTGCTCGTGAAGCAGAGACATTGCTTCAAACTGAAAATAAATCAATACTATATTATTGTGAAGTAGTCACAACTAAAAACATATTATCTAGCATATAACAACTTCGATCCAATATTTTGGTCTATAGGTATGCTGTGCGTATATAAAGAACACATGAACAAGAATACAATAATAAAACTGTTAAACCAATTTTGAATTGAAAAACTATAATAAATGAAATTTGCAATCAGAAACATAATTTGATGTGTGAGGACAGAGGCCTTGAACAGATAGTTGGCATTTCATAAGCTGGCACTGAACCGGCTAGCGCCGACCTCCAGATTGGGCTGACTACCAACAAGATTAATGTCGCAAATACAATACTTGACCCTAAAATCTTTCCAAAGCTGCTAAAGAAACAATGCAAAGTTTTAACTTAATTAGCCGTCAACAACCCTTCTTAATACAAACTTTGCAATCAACATCCTTCTGAAATAAATTTACACAAACATATAATTGATGCTGAAATGCTGAACTTGTTGAAGAGTATAAAGGGTAACTCACGAGAGTGACGTCTCTGGACGCAGCAGCAGCGCTCATGTGTAGGGAAGGCTGCTTCACGCTCGAGGAGCAGTCCAGGGCCCTAGCAAAAGTGCCAACAGAGCGCGCCACCACCAGGAATTGGTCAATTTGTCTGTCAGTCAAGCCGTGGTCCGGCGTCCAAACCAACGTTTCCAGTTCACTCATAGCGCGGCCATCTGCCTCCCCTAGGGTTTAATTCAAGAATGTCTTGATTCATGGTATCAATCATAATTAAATTTAAGTTGATCATCTTCAGCTAATAACACAAATATAAACTATATTTCTGAATGAAAGTATTTATTCTCAGCATATCATTGGTAAATTTCTGTTCATCAGAGGTGTGAATGAATAGAGGCAAGTTTTTGATAGTGCAAGATAACAAACTTGTTCTTTAAATAATTTTCTTATGTGAAAATAATAAAATAACTACTATAGAACATTTTAAGATTTCAAAATTCCGAAAATGCTGAACACCTGAGCTTTATTGACTACTGATGAAAATAATGTTCAAACTTATGTCAGTTTTCCAACAAGAGATTTTGAGTCTAAAAGAAGCTTGTATGACATTCATTTTGCTGTTTAACGGTTCCAGCAAAAAACTTGGATCGCTTTCTCCTCACCAAACCCGTAATTGAAACATGGATGGACAGACACACCTGCTACATGCCAATGATTTGGTTTCAGGCTAAATTATGGGGGCGAAGCTGAGCTTATTGATGGGGGTACTTGTAAGCTGAGCTTATTGATGGGGGTATAACTTGTAAGCTGAGCTTCTTGATGGGGGTATAACTTGTAAGCTGAGCTTATTGATGGGGGTATAACTTGTAAGCTGAGCTTCTTGATGGGGGTATAACTTGTAAGCTGAGCTTATTGATAGGGTATAACTTGTAAGCTGAGCTTATTGATAGGGTATAAGATCATATCTTGAGTTAATTGATGTTGTGTTGCTGACCTTCCTTCAATAAGGCGGTGGGATCCGCTTGGTAGTTGGGCCCTATTCTTATCTCCCCCTTGTCAGCAAGAAGAGTCTTGGCGATAGGGTCGAACACCAGCGAGTAAAAAAATGTGTCCTGCACAGGCCCAGAACATAGAGTGCCACTCAGAGTGATCAGCTAAACATAAATTTCATTCCATTGTTAAATTCATACATAAAATAAACTTACTTCTCATAAAAAACAAATATGTATAAAATTAACAACAAGTAGTTCTTTATAAAACAGCTTCATAACGTCTGTTGTTATTAGACTTTTTTTTTCAAATTGCTTGTAAGTCATTTCTCCACAATACATATAAAATTTATAAATCTTGACACTTTATCTACGATATTAAATGTAGAAACCCACCTCCTTAGACATATATGACGCTAAAGATTCCGTTTCATTGAGCAATGTTACGGTACACTTGCCCCTGATGTGAGTGGCGGGCAGCGTCTCAATCTGGCGACTTAGGAATAATTCACGGTGGCCCAACTGGTGCCTTTCATCTGCAACAACACAAGGAACTTAGCCGCATTCTGCTTATCAATTGTACTAACAAATAATCGGGTTAAGAGATGATGCAATAGATGATATCAGAGTAATCTATTAGTTTTGTCATGACTAAAACTTGGACAAGATAATCAAGCTTTCAATTTATTTTTTTATTTTGGTGTTTACAAGTTAATTATATTCCAATTTAAAGATAGTCAAACTGTAATTGAGAGAATGCATTTTTGAGTTGGCTATTGACAGTTATAGAAAACTACAATGGAAATAAATAAAACTTGTCTCACCTTCAGAAAGAGAACTGCGCTCATCAGAAACCTGAGCGATTTTCTTAGGGCCTGAGGAAGTAGATCTGATAGAAGCACTTTTCAAGCCAGCAGGAATATAATTACAACTATTATTTGAACCAGGAATTGCAGACGAGTAGGTGCCGTTTGCAGTAGACGAGCCTGCACTAATATCTGAACATGGAGTACAAGATGCACTATTGTGAGAACTATTGGAGGGTGGGGAGACCGAAGTGACCGGCTTGCTAGATAGAGAAACAGATAAAGAAGCTGGGGTAGAAGAAGTGATATTAGGTGCTGAACTGTTACTGGAGCGATTGGAAGAGTGTTGTGTAGGCAAGCTGCCCATAAGTCTGGTGTGTGGTGCGTGGTTGCTATGGCTCAAAGCAAGAGTTGGGTCAGCATCATCAGCTTCAGGATCATCATCAAAGGCACCTGAAAAAGTAAATGTTTCAAAATTACTCAAACATGGGCCAGCTTTGGTCAGCGGTTACATGCTGCATCAGTACAATTAGTCATATGGGAGAAACGCGAGCTGTGAACAAATATATTATTTGCTTATCAATAATACTAGTTTCAACTAACTAGAAGAAAGTATGTTTGAAAAAGCTAAATAATCGTAATTTATTGCAAAATTTGATAACTTACTGTGGTGTTTAAGATTAGCCACTGCCAGTAGATGACTAGGGATGTCCCTTCGTCTGTAGTAACACATCACTTTGGCCTCCACGTTGCCAGCAGGAGTCTGAAACAATTAAAACTTAATAAAAAATCAAGTACCTATATAAAAATGGGGGTATAAAATTTTGCTGCCAAACATTACCTGAAAGATGAGTTATGTTTAAATCCCTTCAGAAGTTTCTTGTTCTGAGACCATGTCGTCTATCATGCAACTTTCCCCAAGATTTTACTTATCAATGCAGAGGCAAAATTAGTTTATGCTTTTTAATGTCTAGCCTTCACAATTTTCTCCATTAAGTAATTATAAACTTTGTAATAATAACAGTAATAACATTTAAAGGTTATTTTAACTACCATGTCACTCTTATTCTCATGTTTGATTTTTCTATGTAGAAATGAGTATGGTATATACATAAGCAAAAAATTAGCAAGTATGAAGTATATATATAAGCCAGCAGTGTACAGAGCTCTATTTGAAGACTCGTGTTGTTGAAGCTCTAAGAATAAATCATTGGTATTTATAACATGATAATTGCAATGGCAGCTTGTGGTGAGGAATGAAATGATAGTTTAATTATTTCTGTCTGAGGGCTAAAATAGATAGCAACACCTTTAAGACTATCTCCTCCTACAGTTTTCAAGCTACAGCAATGAGACATATACCATTCGATTCGTAAAGACCAGGCCTATCGACTCTAACATCACTTTTTTGAATTTCGGTCTGGTTCGTTTTTTATATGGGGGAGAAGGGCGGGGAGGGGTAAAAAATGAGAAAAAAATGGGAAAAAATAGAAAAAAACGCAATAAAAAAACTAGATGGAAAATGAAAAAAGTGATGTTAGAGTCAATAGATATGGTCTTTACGAATCGATTGATACGTGTCTCGATGTTGTAGGATGATATTTGTGGGAGGAGATAGATTTTCTAAAGTACCCCTTTTTAGCTGTTTTCTACGAATTTCACGTTTTCTATCAATTTTTTCGAAAAATTCATAGGAGCAAAATGTTTTTTTTACATTTTACATATGTATGTGAAGTTTCATGACAATCGGATAATAACTGTAGAAGTTTTCGTATACTAGGGCAGTCCCCTTAAGCATCAATGGCTTTCAGATCCCAAGCCATTAATCAGATATATCTCATTGCCATATATCTCATTGCTATTATACCATGAGGCAGTTTGAAATTATTCAAAAATAAAACCTTATACCAGAACTAAGTGTAGATCAAGTATAGCAGCTTTCCTCCAACCACTGCACCAGTGCTTCAAAAATTTTGTTTCGTCTAAGTTCATGCATCAATACACCAACAGAGAAACTGAGGAGCATTAATTCACATATTAGGAACAACAGTATCTCCAACAAAGTATTTCAGAGCAAAAAAATTGACACATTTATACAGGTATTTTACAGCAACTTGCTCAACTATCATCTATGTTATAATAAGACTGCATCAAGCTTAGTTCATCATAGACAAAATGTTATCACAAATTGCAAAGCAAAGCAAAGAAAACAAGTAAATTCATCATGTCTTCACTGACAATATTTTGGCAACCAGCTTAACATCAGTTCAAAAAATCTATAGAATACAAGTGCAGTCATCAGTGAAATTCAAAATATATTTTATACCTAGGTATCCCTATATTATATATTTAGATCAATGAATCAATTCTACTTACTTTTATAAGCTCCTCTATTCTTCTGATTTGATATGGTGAACTGGAAGATGTCTCAAAGTAGACATAATCTGCAAGAAAATCAAAATATTCATTATTAAAAAAAAATAATAATCAATATACAAGTCTATAAGGCCCTGAGTAGAACTATTAAGAACTTAACATCTAAAAATGAGTTACTCAAATTGAGTTGATAATTTGAAATTTACCCACTTCAAGATCAAATTGACATAAAATGAAGGCTAGTCTAACACACATTGAAGGCTAGTCCCCAAGCAATTGCCAAGGGGCAGTCAAACAGTACCTACACAAAATTTATGCTAAATCAGAGAAAAGCTATAACCAATTTTTAGGGTGCAGTTAGTGTGCAATTCATTACAATTCATTACTTTAAGTTACCAGATCTGATTGTGGTGGATAGTGCTAACTGTCTTGCTGATCATAATTTTCAAACACTTGCGTGGATAATTTCAACACATCTGCCGAAATAACCTTTTTCAACAAACATTTTACAGAAAATTGAGCTCTGCATTAGATTGATTGAGAGAGACTACAGCTATATATGATTGAAGTAGTCAACAGAGAAAAATCAGTGTGGAAGGCTGATATTCAATATTGATTGATCATAATTGACATTAGCAAGTCTGCAGGTTTGCAGATTCACAATGTGGGAATGGTGGTTCATGTATTTGTAGCATCCTGGCCTGCAACCATCCTAATTTCTTTAACTAATTCACTAAAGAAAAAGTGGATTTATATGTTCAGGAAAAGTTTCAAGTTTTTAAATTGAATATATCATGTGCATAGTGCATTCTATGTGCATTTTATCCTTTCCCATCTTTCTTTTATCTATTTATTTTTTGCCTGCTTAGGGTTGGTGATTTTTTTTTTATTTTTTTTTTATAAAAAAAATCAAAAATCAACAATTTTTTTTATTCTTTCATGATTTTTTTCAGCTTTTTTGTCTTTTTGAAGTGTTATTTTTTATGCTGCAATTAGTCTACTATCAATAACAGTATATGGATCATAATGGATGGCTAAAAAGGGCACTTATTGCCTTCAATAATGGCCAATAGGCCAAGGTGGTGTTTACCACTTAGGGATTTTTGGGTGAACAAATATTGGCAAGTCTATTCATTAGCTTTGTAAAGTTTGCATGGAGCAAAGTAATGAACTAAATATTGACCATTAAACTGGCTTCAATATACAAAAACACTTCAGGAATGCAGATCTTCTAAGCATTGAAGAGTCACATAACAGATAGGTAGCTGATAGCACAGTGCACAGCACTATCAATAGATCTACTAGTTTTATGTCCTATAAATCTACCAGACTCTACCCTCTATACACACCGACTAGTAGTGACTGAGTGACTGACTGCACTGTTCCCATTTAATTCAGACCAATAAACCAATACTAAACATAAACTGAACGATAACCAAACAAACCTCATACGACTTGAAACGAGACTTAAGTTATGAGAAAATCTAACACTGTTTGAAATAAACATGTGCACAATTCAAGTATTTTATATCCATTCACTGCATTTAGTTATCTTATATATAGTCTTATAATTGTAATTGTTTTGTTTCTAGTTTTAAATTCACATATTTAAAGATTGAAATTAAATATTTCAATTAGAATACTCGTATTAGGGTGGAAAATCTTTCTAATTGCCTAAAAGGTCAATACAATTTCAACCTCTCAATATACAGGGTGGGGCAGAACTGATTGAGCAGTTTTGAGGTAAAATAAGAGTAATGGAGGTACATAAAGAAGAAGAGGTACATCTTCCTGATATTGTTTTCAAAACATAAGTATTTTAAATGGTATGTTATGCTAATCTTGAGGAAAATAAACTTTCTTCTTTATGTACCTCCACTGCTCTTTTTATTTTGCCTCAAAACTGTTCAATCAGTTCTGCCCCACCCTGTATAAGATCGCTAACACATTTAAATTGTATATTGTAATCAATATATAACAAATAGTCAAATAGTTAAAGAATACTTATGGCCTTATAAGAATTAGCTAAGCTGCTAGCTATGTACAATGTATTGCATTGCAACACTTGATGCCTCTGTACCAAAAACATTAAATTTATTGGAACCTGATACACACTAAAGGCAACAAGTTTACAGCAATCCCTTGATTAGCACGGTTTTGAATACCGTAAACTGGGTAACTTTGACCACTTTTTTTTCAAAATGATGCCATTTTTTTACTAGATAAGTTAAACTTAAATTGAAACATGCAAAATACAGGTCTATACTCTAGCTTTACTCAACCATAAATTGCTGGCTCCTGCCTCTCATAGTTTTGATGTAATTTAAAAAAAAAAGTGATGGTCTTTGTTACCCTAGCTCTTGGGGTTTCTTTGACCGGGTGGTAAAATCAATTTTATTTTTTAGTAAAATAACTCCAAATAACTCCTGTCTCTTATACACATCTAGATGTGTATAAGAGACAGGAAGCTGGGGCGACTCTAAATTTTGTTAGGGAGT